GTTTCTTTTTATCAAACATAATAAAATGATGTGTTTGTGTGTCGTTCGTCTGCTATACGACATAAAAATTTAACTGTCACTTGAACTTTTGGAGGTGAAACGCTAAAATTTCAATGAAATATGAAAAATCAATTGCCACCTGTTTACTTTCCAAATGGATCTTTATAATACAAACACCGAATTTATCCAAAAAAAAAAATTGAAACAGTAAAATCATTCAAAACAATAAAAATACAATAACAACAGTTTGATGCATTTAATTTATTTTGTAAATTGATTCGAAAAATATTCAACGAGAGGATCAATTATAGTTTTTCTCATGGACGCAACTTTTTGCGAAAAAATTTCGACTACATTTGAAAACGAAGAAGAGAAAAAAATATATTAAAGAACACAAGACCGAAAAAGTGAACATTTTACGAAACTCATAAAAGTCAAGTCGAAAACATATTTGATGCGAGTGAGAACGCAATAGCATAAAACGATCAAGACGAACCAAAAAAAAAACAATAACAACAAATGGTGGACCTTTGAATTGGTCTGATATAATTAATACATGAAAATAAGATCCATTCTTGTCGCTTGTGCAATTCCAAATGCTGGTTATGCACAATGCGAATGTTTCATAACCGATGACAATAGACAATTGCATTTTTGACGTACAAATGGAAGTGATTCGAGATTAAACGCAAAGACTTGTGTTTCTCTCTCCCTCTATCCCTCTCATCATAGCGGACGAAAAAAATGAACCGAGAAATAGAAATAAATTTAGCGAATGTGAATATAAATCAGTCGAGCAATTGAACCGCGAAAAGTAAATGGTTTTAGAATTTGGAAAAGCGAGCAAGCAAGAAAAAAAAACAATCTCATTGAATGTTATGAGTTGGGCATCTTGTTTGACCTTTCCGTTACTCATTTTGCCTGCTCTTTTTTACTCTTTTTGCGCTATTATGTCGCTCTTTCGCTCTCTTTATCCTCAGCTCGCGCGTTCGTGTGTTTATATATCTTCAGCGCCAAATTGGTCGAGAATGAAGACGATTTATACGTTTGCTATTTTCTAGCATTGTGTTTCGGTCAATTGTTCACTATTAATGATCCTGACATGATTGGCAATCAAAAATTATGAAGGCAATTTTCTTTTGACGTAAAATGAACCAAATTGAACAGTTTTGATTATTCGGTGACTAACTTTTGTTGCATTTTACCTAATTGAAGTGGCACAGCAAAAGGCAAAAGGAGAGGAAAAAAATGTTTAATCGTTACGCTACCAATTGGAATGTGGAATGGAACCCGACTCACTCAGATTGACGCTGATAACGGGAGAGTATGATTTATAAAATCAAATTATGTGATCACGGCAAATGTAATTTGTTTTAAATGAAAATGATTTTTTTTTTCATTATTTTTATTATTTTGAAAACGAAAAAAATGAAACTTCTAACCAACACATATCGATTCATTCGTCGCACGATTTTTAACGTGGAATCCAGTTCAAATGAAACAGTTCAACAACGCGCATTATGTAATAATAATAATAAGAAGAAGAAGAAGAAAAAAACACCCAGCTAATCGTTGGAAGAGCAAATATTTAGTCGATTACAACAACTATGGATGAGCTCTCGCGATGGGAAACAAGTTTTCACTGACATTTCATATTTCGGTGCGGCTCGAAACAAATGCGAGCTCACCATTCATATTTTTCGTTCGAAAGAAATTGAAAGTGTGCATGTATTTGTGTGTGTATATACACGAGCATATCTCAAGCTCAATGGATGGATATGAAAAATTAATTATTTTACAAAAGCATGTTGAATCCTCCTGCACAGAATGCACGAACACGTGAAAAATATGCACCGATCGCGCTGAAACGTGTTTTGATTTAAGTTTTCAATTTAACTTATTGAGTTAATCAATCATTTCACGCGGGCCAAATGGATATGTTGGTGTGCTCAATCGAACTGTGGCCATTTGTTTTTATCATCGCCTTAAGGTTTCGAATTATGCACAATAAATTTATTGAAATTATAATTAATCGAGTCCACTGTTGAAAATTTGAAATGACTGTGCATCGCACCGCATGCACTGTTAATGTAGGCTGTTCCGTTAATTGCATTGCAATATATTATTGGATTAGTCGACGACTCGGTTTTTTTACCTTTCATCTCATATCGATATTTTGCTTCACATTAAGTGCGATTCGATTTTATTGGAAATTGTGGCAATCGAGAACACACACACGCGCGCGCAATACACATCGAATGGTGGTGATTTATTTTGGAATTCGCTTGTCTGCACACCTCCTTTCTTCCAATCGATTTCATCGACTAATTGCGTGTTTGGATCGAATGTCGTTATAAATATTACATTTCATGTCGCCAGGAGTAGGCCAAACGTGTGAATGTGTCAAAACATCATAAGACACACTTTATACGATGGAAATGTACTCATCATTTTTTGATTCAACGATAGATACAAATAATAATTATAATTATTATCTAACATGAACATTCTGAATATAATATATACGACATTCCATGCTACGTCATGCTTGCATTCATTTTAAGTCATTCTTTTGTGTTGAAATCGACCATTTTCGATTTCTTCTTTAAAATCAATTCAAAATACATTTTGGAAAACGTAAACACTTGGAATTCTTGTTGTATAAAAAATGCCGTCCTGTTTTACTTGAGATTTTGGTAAAAATTGGCAATTCAACGATCAGCATATCCAAGCATATCTAAATAATTCAAAATAAATCTAAATCTAAAGTGAAGGAGAGGACACTTTAATAAATGCGGAAGCTTATGCTAAATTCTCATATATGGCACATTCAAATTATTTGTTTTCATTTGGACTCTACTAGTTCCACTTATAAAGCGATTATTTATAAATTAAAGTCAAATTTTTGAATGTACATTTGAATTTTTCTGGAAGAACGACGTAAATTGAGCGTCATTAACTAACGTCCATTTTCATCATATTACATTGAAAAGTCCTTCTCGTTCTCTATACCAAAATGAATTAGAATAGCAAAAAAAACTACAATAAAAGGTAAATGCTGCAAAATTGCATAATTGAATTTGTGTGAAACGATTTAAAGTCGGTTTCTTTTTGTATTTGATTTCAATAACAATAACCACAACAACATCGAGAAAAAAAAATCCGGCAATTATTTCTCGATTTCGTTTTTTGACGTCTCCGAATTCAATCAGGTATTTGGTGGCTTGAAACGATATAGAAGAATCGCCAGACGTTTGCACACACACATAAGCCGACGGATCATTTGAGGTGGCCGACGAATGTTTTTTTCTAATGAAGGTGAATCAACTTATATGAAGACGCCACCTGTAAAAAAGTGAGCGAAAAAGAATATAAAATGTGTAAAGAAATAACTTGTTGGTGTGTTGGATGGTGTATTAAATGATAATTTTCTGATCAGCATAAAATTGCTCTTCTTGAAAATGCATTACCTCGTGACTATAATTTGGAATTACAGAAGAAGCTTTGTCGCTTCAAAAAAAAAATCGTATGTCCCAATCAAATTTAAATAAATCTACATACGAATTTTGAATTGAAGTTGTTTCCAGGAAGAGAGTGATGTCAGGAAAGAACAATGATTGAGAATACATTGAAATTGTTTTTTTGCGATTGAAAAAAAAAAAATTGTTTTACAATCGATTCACAAAACAGCTTTAACCTTTTTTTTTAATCCAAACCCCAATACGATTAAACCTTTAAATCGAATAATCTTTTGGATCATCACATTGGAGTGCAGTGCCGATTAAAATGCCGCTCCGTTACATATGCAGATGAGAATTCAAACATTTTATACGAATTCGGTTTAATTTGAACAACTTATGCAAGAGGCATAATTTTGTGCATATTAAAGGCAAACACTTCGCAAATAGTAAACGTGATAATTTCCACAATAAATAATCGGTTCTGGCAAATAAAGATGCACATCGATGACGACGACGAAGGCAACATATTTCACGAACAACAACAACAAAAAGAATAAAATATTAGAAGAGGCGGAGTTTTCCGAATGAGAGAAAAATCAAAGATAATAAAAAGTTTCGCTTGATTTTTTGTGTGTGTTTCAATTCTCAATAGGAATTGAGACAATCGCACAATTGACTTGTGTTCGATTGATTTACAGAAATCTGAAATTTATAAAGCAGAAAGAAAAATCACAGGAGATGAATATAAAAGCATTTTTCGTTTTGTTTACGATTGATTCGCATGAATTTTTTGTTTAAAAACTGTAGAAACAAAAAATCCATTATTTTGCTTTCATTTGGTTAAACAGATAATCCTTTTCAATTGATTTCGATTTTCTTGTCAATATTTTTTTTTTTTTCAATAAAATAAATATTGCTCCAATGTCGTAAGAGAAGAGGAATCATTTTTTACATTTCCAAATAAAAACAAGTGAACACCCACTGAATCGCAAAAAAAAAAAACATTTTCGATAGAAAGTCATAGGTTTTTCATCGATTGAATAATATAACCCGATCTTAATCAATATGTAACCTCTTTTAAGCGAAATATGCGGCATTCTAGACTAAAACCGTATTTATGGAAAAATCGAACAATCTCTCACCCCACTAACAATACTGCCTTTAATGTTTAAGCAATTTTCTGTGTGTGTGTTCACCTATCAAAACCTTAAAGAAACCATATGTTTTGCCCAAGAATCACTATCTCATATATATTTGCTCATATTTTCGTATTTTAATGCTTACAGATGTTGTTACAAATGGTCAATTTGTATATGATTCCATTTTTGTCTCATTCCAATGAAAAAAAAAACTCTCAGCGAATACGATTTAAACGGTTGTACATAAAATGAGTATTTGATGCACAGGTTTATAGCCGTGATGCTGACGTGATGCCGCCACCGCCACCGCCACTGTCAATGATTTTGAGATTGAGTTCAACACATATTCAACACGCTCTGTGGCAAAAATCGGATTGAGGGTATAAAAGACGGCACCAAAGATCCGACAATCAACAATCGTTAAATCGCCTCTGTACCGTGTATACACAACCGACAACAATAAAACAAACAATTTTTCAGAAAGAAAATTATCCGCCGAATTTTCCACAAGTGTGTATTCATTATTTAATCGATTTTTTTGTTTCGATTCAAGAAAATCGCGCGTAATTTATTAATTTTCAATAATCATATTCTATTTGAATCAATTGTCATTGTGTTCTTTTATTGGTTTTTAAACAGTTTGTTTGTTTTTTTTTCTCATATAATTTATTTTGTGATTTAGATTTTAGATTGAAAGCATTTGTGATTGTGTTCTTGTTTTTGTCGATCATTTGTGCTATTAAACAATTATATAAGATGAAATTCGTTGTAAGTATATCGAAGCATTCAAATGAATGATAGATCATTTCCGTGCATTTCATTGAATTTTTTTTCTGTTCTGGCTGTTGTAAGCAAAAAAAGAAGAAGCAAATGCCTAAATAGCGGTCTTACACTTTAAATGAAAACCGACAAAAACGACCAAATAGAAAAAAGATTCATACGAGATTTGATTCAGTGTGTATTATTTAACCGCTATGCACCAGGATGAGGTGCTACTTTTTTGCGAAGTGTTTGTTTTCTTTTGTTTATTTGTTCATGCCCACAATGTAGCATATCAACAGATCATTGTCAACGGCCTTTGAAAGATGAGAAAAAAATGTGTTAATAAGTTTTACGATAGTAATTTTTTAAAAATATATATAACGTGAATAAACCTTACGTTATGTTTACGTGCAGACGCGTACGAAACAATGCGATATCATTTTCAAGAATTGCCTATGCAGAGTAAAGAGTATATTAAATCAAATTAAATGGCCACCTTTTTGTTTTAACAAGTGACCTCGAGAGAGTTGGCCGGTCTCGTGTCTATTGCTTCTTCATTATTATTTTTTTCGTTTGTTAAAGTGTCAGACTTTTCAAGTGCAAGCCTGATTCAGAGAAAGATAAGAAAACAAAAGGCATGCTTTTATTTGTAGCATCCGAAGTCTAATATAATAACAGTCGTTGTTCCAAAACAACAACAACAACAGCAACAACAAAAACATCCAAGTTGATGTTCTTTAGACGTTGTGCGGCATGACTAAATGTCTTCAGCATTATAATCATCGCAATTGGCATTTATGACGGCGAAATTTAAATTGAACTTAATCGAATGTGAATTAAATTATAAAAGACTCGATTTATTATGGGTTCATTTCGGTTCGGTTGCTTTTTTTTCTTACCAAAAATAACGATAAAATGGATGGAACAAACGAACTTATGAAAATATATAGACATCCATCTGGTGATAATACGTGCGGTGACCTATTACAAAATCATAATTTCCATCCATAATAGTATTTTTATGCATCTTCATTATACGCCAAATTGCCGATTTCGACGGCTTGGCGCGGGAACAACAGTGTGTGCACATGTTTTTACACATCGCACACAGCATGCACCGCAATTCACTCTTACACTATATTTTGTTTTCTTTCATCATAAACATCCCGATCTGTCTGTCGGACAATCTCTTATTTACCATTGATTATCACTTGCTGAACACTAAGTATTTTGTTTTTCTACATGTAAACGTAATGAAATCAAAAACATTTATTAACGATTTCATCGTTTTTCGGTTTTGATACATAATCATTATCTTGACCATTTTGACCCAATTCATTTTTTTACGGAACATGTTTTTCGATTTTTTTTTCTTTTCACATCTGACAACGTTAGATACTTGCCATTTTTGCCGTCATTACAATTGCTAATGCACAAATCCGGCCACTTTTACAAACAAGAGACCGTGATGCAATCATTTTGAAGCAAATATACGAGCCCAATCCAGACGGATCATACGTATATAGGTGAGTGAGTTTCGTTAAATACCAATTGTCTATCTCTTACTCGTTTGAATTTGATTGACAATAGACGGAAAACACACAGTGAGAGAGTCTTATCCAATTTTGCTAAATTAAATTAATTTTTTTTTGTGTCTCATTTGCAACGAACAAGTTATGAAACATCGAATGGAATAGCAGCTGATCAAACCGGCTATCTGAAAAATCGCGGAACTAATTTAGAAGCACAGGTAATAAGTCACAAGTTGATTATATTTCTTAATGAAAATGAAACAATATTTTACATATTTTTCATCAAATTGAAAAAAAAAATATTCCATAAAATGTAGGTTGTCCAAGGCTCTTACAGTTACACTGGACCAGACGGTATTTTATATACTGTCAATTATGTGAGTTTTATTATTTTTAAACCAAAATGTATCGTTTTATAATAAAACGTTTGTGTTTTTTACAGATTGCCGATGAAAATGGTTATCGAGCCTCGGTTCGTTTATAACATGATTTTTTTTCTCATAATCTTTTCAAAGAAAAAAATTTGTTTTCGAATTTTTCTCCAAAAAACTAGCTTTTAATTATAATAATTATTCTTTTTTATTTCAAATCATTTTAACAAAAAGGGGGCTCATTTGCCAACCCCGCCAACTTTACCGCCTAGCTTCCGACAACAACCAGTTCGATTCGGTTTTTAGATGAGCCACACAACCACCGAACAGAGAGAAAAAAGCCAATAACAACATAACATATTTCTTTACTTTTGGATATCCTTTTTTTAAAAAAACCTCTTGTGAATGATGAATCTATTCAAAATAAATCGAACAAAAGACGAATACAGATGTAAACAACTGTGATTAATTCTAAATGTGAAAGTTTTTTATTGTAATTCAGATTTTAGTTCGATTTTCAAGAAAAAAAAAAGATTTTTATTAAAAAAAATAATATGAGAATATTCTGTACACATTCTGTCTTTTAATGATGTAAATAAAGCCGTTTTTTCTACTGATATTCGCAACAATTCACCTTTTCCTTCTACTTTTTTGATCTTCATTGAAGAATATTTGCAATTGATTTTGGTTTGTATCGTGCACGATCTACAATCCTTCCGTTGAATTGTGTTGACGTTAAATTCGAATTAGAATTACATCATATACAACTAAAACACAGTAACAGTATTTTCAGCCAGCAAGTACGGCAATTGGTGGATAAAAATGTGGATAACGATATCTACGTCGATAGGGCCCCCATCCGCCGTAGCCATAACCAGGATAGCCACCGTATGAGTAACCACCATATGAACCGAATCCAACACCAGCAGCAATCGGTGAAACACCAAATCCAATTCCAACGAAATTCGGATTGGGTGCTGCTGCCACTAAATATGCATTGCACATTAAACAAACGACAACAAACAATACACTCGTTTTATTCATATTTATCTTCTTTTTTCCTCTCTGTTTTGATTTGAAAATTTGATACGCGTCCCGAGTTTTACACGCATTGACTGACATTGATTTATCACATCAACCATGCTTATATACCTATCGATTTTTCGACATCAAAATTAGGATAGATTAGCATGCAGGGGGAAATTCATCTTGGACCTTGAACGAGAACTTGATTCACATATTCAAAAAAAAAAAATCCCAATTTCTCACCCAGCGTACTCATTTTGAACCGTTAAAATCTTCCACGAAATATTTTTAGTTGATTTGCCGAATGAAATAAACACAATAATTAGCACGATCACACGATTTACATTTGGTCTTATTTAATGTCAACCATTTGGAGTAAAAGTATGCATCACTCTTCTGTTTCATTAAGTTTCATATTTCTCATTCAATGACGTATGTCCACATTGAAAATATATAGTATTTTTTAAAATATAGATATGTAAATTCAAGTGGTAACAAAAAAACTAGACATCAGAACAAATCTAACCTACGCCGAATTTTATTTGCGCGCCTTTTTCACGATCATCGACACCGATGTATGACGACATATAAATGAATCATTGAACAAAGTTTAATTAACAATCAATTCCCGATCATTTGGGATCATTTAGACATCAAATTATTATGTTAATTAACTTGCTGAAAGTACATCCTGTACGATTGGAGTTGTTGAACTTTTTGAACCTTTTTCTCTTTAAAAAATAAATTCCATTTACGTAAGAATTTTTACATTTGCAGCGGCGTCGTTTTTTTTGTGGAATTCTTGGGTTTTTTGTTTATTCAATTTTGTTTTTATTCAAACAATTTCTGGAAAGTTCGATTCCATGAATTGATGATAGTGATACTATTTTCTCTTATGACTTCAAGTTGCATTTCATATTGCTGATCGAAATTAGAATAACCATCCGAAATGATATAAACAGTATCCAAATATCGATCTGAGGTTATAAATAAAAAATAATCAAATAAATTTAATGGCATCGTAAGCATATAATCAGAAGAGGTTGCAAGATTTAAGATTAAAACAAGGCCTGTTCTAATTATTATTTATTATTCACCGTCTGACCACAGACTGAATTTATCACAATTATTACAATATCGTTTGCAAAGAAACACTACCCGATCGAATACCCAGCCATGTAGTCTTTTCGACTACAACATAATTTTTCTTAGCCTAATACTAATTAAATTAAACAAAATATATAGTATTTGATAATGAAATATTGTTTAATTTTAAGCCAAACGCGGCTTGTTACTCAAAAGCTTACATTTAATTATGAATTGAATTGAGAGATGGCGTGTGTACGCACTAAAACAACTTGATTTAAATGAAATAATGAAATGTGATGCAATTAATATCAAACATAAGAAATAATTAAATCATAGAGTAGACTAATTAGTGGTGTAGTACATAATATCAATTATAAAAATGAAATTGTAATCTACTAAGTGTAGATGTAAACGTTTTAAGACTCTTTTAATGGGCGGAAGCATTAGTAAAATTGCAGTGGAATTGACAATTTAGTAGTTGGATTAGCAAAACATTGCATGGATTAGCAAAAATAGGTTGGATTCACCATTTATGTAGTCAATACAGAAGTTCTGTAACAAAATGTTATACTCCAGTGCTGATAAATAAGTTTTCAACTAATGACATAACGACACAGTATGACATTATGCTTGACAATGAAATTATGGATTAGTATTAGCGTTTATATAGTAGAATCACGATTTAATCGTGTGTGTCTTCCCCAGAGCCAAGATACGTTACATAAAATGTTGAATTTAAAAAATCACTACCCCGGATAAAATTATGAATATGGCAAACACAACCTACTTTTAAGAATTAAGTCGATAATAATGGCAACGCAATAATAGCATTTCGATTTATGATGATTATGGATCAACCCAAATTGATTTCATTCTAAATTTTTAAATGAAATGATAAATTATTTCGACACGATCAATCACAATTCAATGAACAGAAAAAACACTAAACTGGATAATTCATGCTGAAAACCCCACTAAACTATTGCACACAACATTTAATTGTGATAAAATACATAATGAACTTATTCCAAAACATACAATGCAATAAATGTTTAATTTTCTATCCATAAATATATTATCATTGTTAACTTGGATCTTCTAAACGTGAATGAACCCCTCATACGTTCATTCATCCACACTTTTATCAATGAGTTCCGTAAATGTTCTCTCAAATCATAGTGTTTCATTCTTTCAACTTGATAATTATAAGGTTCAACGATTTCTTTCGTATTTTATTCTATAGCATGAATAATCAATGGTCATTCTTGGAATTTTACATACCTAACAAGCATTCATGGTAGAATTCAAAGAACGAAGGTTGAATGTGCCAGTTTATGTTGTTGTTATGTTATTGATTGAATATTCAGCGGCTCTGCAAGATGGTAAATTTTTTTACATTTTCATGAAATTCATTTTATTTCGCAAAAACTGAGATCGGAAATGCTTTGATCCTGTGTGAAATGGCAAACATTGCAACAAAAATTCGTTGAAACTGTGCGTATCCATTGCATTCCACATTTTCGGAAAGAAATTAGTGGAAAATATTTTTCATGTGGTTTCATTGGTGTCAGCGCAGTGTCATTCAGTCACATGTATCGTAAAATCCATACGATCTGTTTTGGACTACAGATACGCGGCTATATAAACATCATGCATCGCATTAAATCAACTTCAGTATTAAATCAGTGGTTCACACATAAACATCACTAATGTGAGTTTGAAACAAAAAAAAATATGAATCATTCAGTAAAATAAGTCAACTCTCTAAAGTGTATCGAACGATTTTTTTAAGAAACGTTAATAATAATCTAATTATTTATAATTGCACAATGATAAATTATTATACAATATTGCAAATTAGTTTTGCGTTGATGTGTGTGTACGCTAGCAACGAACAAAAATGTGAAGTAATCACATCATGGATTTGTGAAAATATTAGTTACAACTTTACCTCATTTCCGAACGTGATGAATCATCAAACTCAAAGAGACGTTCATCATAAGCTAATAAACTCACAATATCACATGTTGATGGACACGAAATGTTCACAACATATAAGATTGTTCATGTGCTCCGTATATATGCCGAATTGTATTGAGAACTATGAAAAACTGTTGAAACCATGCCGATCATTTTGTCAACGAACATATGATGAATGTGTGTCAGACTGGATAGATTTGGGATTGGGCTCTGACTGGCCTGCTGAAATGCAATGTGAACAATTTCCAGACGAGACGATGGAAATTTGTTTGAATCCGGATAATTCGGAAGAAATACGGTTAACCAACGAGACACGAACAAACAAGCATGTACATGTCAGTGATAAGATATATTTTGTTTTGATTTGGATTAAACTTTGGTCGATGGTGTGTGTTATTTGCACCGTAGCTACATTAACATCTACTATTACCAGCAAACAACGAGATAAACCCATTATATTTCTACAAATTTGTTCGCTTCTGATTGCCGTTGGGTTTCTCTTTGGTGGATATTTACCGTGCAATATTACATTCATTGTAATATATTGTTTCGGAATGGCATCATGGATTTGGTGGGTTATTTTATCATTCACTTGGCTCTTGGAAGCTGGTTTTAAATGGAGTGATCAATCTATTGACAAGTATCAACATTTTTTTCATTTGGCCTGGCTCATACCAATTGCTCAAACAATTTTAGTTTTTTTCTCCGAAAATATTGATAGTGATCTATTCACTGGCATCTGTTCGGTTGATACTCTCAGTATGGAAAATCAAAAGTTATTTGTTATAATACCATCGTTTACGTATTTTTTATTGGGAATTGCACTGTTATCAGCTGGACTTATTCTACAAGCAAATGGAACACGTAAGACAACAAGTATGCGAAGGTTTAATATTAGCGTGCTTTATATGGTTCCTGCACTGATTTTCATCGGATGTCAACTGTTTGAGTTCAATAATGAGCAATCGAAAACAAATGTGACTCTTTTTTGGATAATTTTAATGAAACACCTTATGACATTTTCATTTGGAATTTTATTCAGTTTTGGTATTTGGATTGAAAGAACATTTAGTTCATGCCAGCATTTTCAACCAAATGCTTTCACATACGATCTCATTTATACGACTATTAATAATGATAGTAAGTGATAAATCTATTTTAATAATGGCAACCATTTCAATTTATTTAATTGTGGGAATTTTAAGTTATTATATTTTATTTTAAAAATTAATCAAAATTCAAATGATGTTAGATGAAACAAAAAAAATTTGCATATAACATTTCAGAAAACACTAATATAAAATTGAATGTAAAACTAAATAAGAATATCTTCCTTTGAAAAATAAAAAAATAAAACATAACAAAAAAAGATCATAAAAACATTCATTTAACTAAACATTTGTTCTTGTTTCTTCGAGAATTACTGGAAGCACATGTAAACCAATCAAAATGGGCTATTACTGGAATTAAGATTATACATTGATGATTGTGGAACGTTGATAACTTCGTCAATCATGGAGTCAACATTGGATAAACGTTGCTGTAGGCCCTCGAATGAATTTGATGAAAGAAAATCAAACTTAGGCATTGACTTATTATGTATACTAATATCATTCAATGGATCCAATTCTGATATTTCCGCATTTTTATAGCCAATTCGACAAAGGCTGCATTTTGATTGTCTTAACTGTTGTCTCATTTGTTGCAATTCAACGCGTTCTTTTCCTAATTCCATTTTTGTTTGTGACAGTTTTGTCTCTCGTTCAGTCAATTCCATGTAATTTTCTTGTAAACTTTGCAGTTTCGCCAACAGTTTTTTCTCAATCGTTTGACATGTTTTCGTCGTATGCTCTGCAATTTGCTGTTTTTTTTTAAATCAAAAATACAAATATTTAAAAAACATTAGAAAAAAACTCCAAAATTTGAGTTAAAAGTAATCCAAAAAAAAATATTTCCTCAAAAACTTCATGACAACCAGTGAACTATTTCAGAAACTGAGAGATATTTAAATTTATGAGGTAAGTATTTGTGTCTCTTTCTCCATTTTACACATAATCAACATTTTTGAGCATTTCTCACATTCATACTGCTTTTTTTCAACTGGACCCAGCTTATTCGGCGAGATGTAAATCTCACTCAAAGCGTAAAAACAACATCTATACATGTTTTTCTCTCTCTCTCTTCTTTCGCATCGTCATAATCAAGTTTCGTCGAATTCATTGATTGGCATTTATTAGCGTAAACGTTTCGGTAAACACTATCAATCGTAATTTTAAGCAATTTTTGAATTTTTCGCCGAATACTAAAAACGTATTTTCTTGGAAATTATGCCGACATTAGATTTTGATATTTTCAGTCATCTGAATAAGGTCAGGCAGCATTTTAATGAATTTCATCATATATTATTCATTAATTGAGCAAAACGTTTTTCAGGTAAATTTAAATGTATAATTTCGACGAATAATTCAATAAAATCAATCAATTTGCGCACACAGAACAAATTTACCTTTTGATCTTTTGCTTCGTTTATTCGTATTTCGACTTCGTTTTGTTGTGCCTGAAGCATCCTCTCCTTTTCTAAGAGTTCTCTTTTTTTAAATTCGTGCTTTCGTTGTTGCTCAATTAATTTTTCCCGTTCAGCATCGGCACTCTTTGCTGCATCCTTTGGTAAAAAACAATAAAGGATAAAACATTTTTCTTAATGCTTTCCAATGTCATGTAAAACATACTTGTGCAATTTTTATAGCAGCATCAAGTTCACTTTGTCGTTTTACGGTTGGGTTTGTTGGTACTTTAAGACGTTCCATAGTTTCTAGTTTGGCTTTTTCGATTAAAATTTGTTCACGCTCCGCATCAAGAAGTTCCATTAAACGTTTATTTTCAGCAAACTGCATTTCTTTCATTTCCTGATGGTCACAATGAAACCATTTATATTTTGAAATTAATTCATAAAAACTCAAGAAAAATTCACAAACAAAAAGTCACAAACCTGTACTCTTTTTTCTTCTGCGCCGAGTTTTTCGCGTGTAAAATTTTTTTCGCGTTCGAAAGATACACGTTCCGCTTCGAGTGCGGCTGATTTTTGTCGAAAATTCCACTGTTCTTCAGCTGAACTCTGTTCAACCGAATTCAGTTTTATTTCGAGACTTTTAACCAATTCAATTAAACGTGTTCGCTCTTCTTCGGTTTTTTCAATTGTTTTTTCGATGTTTTTTTGTTGATCTGTATGAAAATGATTTTAAATCAAATTTACCAAACATTTTAGATTTTTTGAACAATTTTTTTTACCGTTTAACCGTTGTTCCTTTGCATTCAATTGCACTTCCCGTTCTGAATGAATTCGCTCAATCGTTGAAGTAATATTTACACGCATCGATTGTAAATTATCGGTCGCATGCTCTAAATTATCGGAAGCACTTTTAAGTGTGCTCAAATATGAGCCACTCTCTTGAAGTGTTGCAAATTCATATAATTTGGCCTGACGGATATTCTCTATTGTCGATCGCTGCTCATTTTTTAAAACTTCCAAATCTTGCTCGTAGTTTAGGCGAATTTTTTCGATTTGTTTTTCATAATCGTTAATCAACTTTTCGATATTGTCTTCGTATTTCTGGCGCTGGGACTCGATATCCGTTTGCAGAGCGGTAATTTTATTCAAATGATATGCTTCGGTTGATTTTATTTCTTCGCGAAGCCTTTTTTCCAGGCTCCCTAGACTCTCCTCCAATAACATTATTTGCTTTCTTTAAAGAAACGAATCAATAATATTTATCAAATTATTGAACAGACTGATGGGGCGTTTATTTGAAAAATACTTAATTATTTTTATTTACATACTTATGACTTATGTGCAGCAGTTCCAATTCCTGTTCATGCGATGTTTGAATATTTTGTAGTGTATCTTCAAGACGAAGTTTGTCGAGCTCCAAACGTTTCACAAGCGCTTCCAATTCGATAATAATATTTTGATGTGATGCATCCTCTTCGTTTTGTTGAAACACCATTTGTTCCTTATCATTTGCTGACGCAGTCTCTGTTGGGATTGTTTTAGTCGCCATCAAACCCATGCTAGGCTGATTCATCAAAACATTTATGTATGCATTAATTTGGTCTTGTTGTCGCTGAATTTGTGTTTCAAGTTGACTTTGTCGATCGACTTGGCGTCGAAGTAATTCATTAAATTGTTTCTCCTGTTGTTTTAATAACAATTCTTGTTTCATGTGCACATCATACAGTATATTTTCCTGTTGCTTCATTTGAGTTGCAACCCGCAATTGTGTCTGTTGTTGTTGCAACGAATTTAATGCTGTCTCTTTTTCCAATGAAGCCATATTTATCATATTTAGACTGGCTGATATGTTATCAGCTGTTGTTGTATTAGTAACAGTCGGAACATTCACCGGTAACTGGACCGGTGTAATTGAGGTAGTAGTACTTGGTGGGATAAGGTTTGTGGCATTTTTTGTAATTGATTCTTGGGATTTTGACGTTTCAACGTTCTTTATTTGGGTATCCGTAGCAACCACATTGATTTCGTCTGATTTTACATCGGTTTGTGCCTCTAATCCAAGCCAGTCAACCGTTGGTTTTTTTGTTGGTTTTAATCTCGTTGACGGTACATTTTCATCTTTTTTTGTTTCTTGTGTCGATGATGATGAAAATAGTCCCAATGGATCAGCTTCCAAACTGCCAGATCGTGGAAGATTTCTTGATTGACGCCGTGATGATGGTGAATATCGATTGGTATTTGGATTGCTATCTATAGTTCGTGAACTTCTTTTATCGCTTGAATCACCTAGTGCTGTTGTTTTTGGCATTGGAGCTGGTTTCGGTGCCGGTTCGTTTTTACCAAAATTCAAGATGTCATCAAGAATATTTGATTTTTTTGCACTTCCAATGGCAGTTCCTTTTGGGTACTTTGGATCAAATCCAAGCTCATCCAAAAAATCATCTGAATCATCGAATCGTGTTTCTTTCTTTATGGTCTTTTTCTGAATATTACCAACACTATTAGATGTATCGATTGCTGTTGTGCTTACATTTTTTTCGGGTGTTTGTCGACGATTTGTACGTGAATCTATTGTGCTTTCATCCTTATTAATAGTTTTCTTCGGTTCATTATTCGGTGGGGTGGTTAAATCTAAATTTAATTTTTCATTGGGTTTTGTTGACTGTTCACTATCAAAACCAAACAAATTTGCAACTTTTGACTTGGACTTGGTATCACCCGTTTGTTTTGCGGGTTTCACAGTTTCTGTCTTTGTTTTAGTTGTACCAAAAAAACTATCGTTACTTCCATCACTTAATAAGTCACCTAATGGATCATCTAAATCAAAGTCCATTTTTGTTTCTTCGATAAAATCGATTTGTACGAATTGATATTCAAAGGCTAGAAAAGTCTTGCATCTTGGTCATAGACTGTGAAATTTGTTTGTCATTTGATATCGTTTCCATGCTAACCGTAAATCATGTTTGAATAGAACACAATTCGAATTTGACGTCTTTCAAATTTGATGTCATAGAAATTCGCTTCATTCAAAATGAATGCGTACGCCATCTATTGTACAATAACGTTACTTCAAGCGCTTTGTACAAGTGTTTCATTTCAGATTTCTTTTAAAAAAAAAATTCTTTATTCACTGTTTTTACTGCATACTATTTTCATGGAATGTGTTGCTTATTGTGATTAAATAAAAAAACAATAGAATCAATAAATCCATGGATCAAAAGAACTAACTCATTCATAACGTAATCAAATTTCAAATCGCCATAGTTCTGAATTTGCCGTGCTTGCAGACGTCGTTGATTTGAATACTCAGTCGCCATTTTGGTTTTTTCTCTCAATCGGCTCCATATTCAAGACTAAACATTCAAACGGGAGCATAAACGCAAATTTTTGTAAATCGACACACACAAGAAAGAAGAGAATTCAATTGAAATTTGTATTTGCCATCAGTTGATAAACAATCTATTGTTAATTATATGGCATTCGTTATCGGTTGACAATAAATTAAGAGAAGACAATCGAAAATAAAGTGGATAAATCAAAGTCAACAATTTCTGTGAAAATTTAGGTAAAGTGAATTTTTTTTTAGTTAGTGTTTGTGTGCGTACGTGCTTAAGCTGTACAATGCCAATATTTATTATTTAAAAAAGTAAATAAAATACGAAATACAATATTACCGCCATCGATAATCGATATTATTTGGTTGATTTTAACCGAAAAACACTTCGTTTTGGTTAAATTGATTACATTTGAGTGTGATATCGAACAGATTATAGTGCATAACATTCAGCACACGAAACATTCATACACATTCATATGGCAATATGGACGATGTGTATTTGTTGTTTAAGTATACGTATGAATTGAAACAGGACACTCAAAATCCAATACTCAATTTTAATATAAATCGTTAATCGATTCGCTGACATAAAATTAATTCAATATTTAATCGGAAAATGAATTTTTCATTTTAAAAATATACAATAATTCAAAATTGTTTCCCGTTGTCATACATGACTCTATTTAAATTACCAATTTTTGACTGTAGTAGTGTTTCGTTGATATTTGTTTGTTGACAATCGATAAATCTAACCTATTTTAAGGATAAATGTTTCGCAAATGTACGTTTTAATTAAAATTGAATCGATTGGATTGAAATTGAATAGTTTGTTGTTGCACTTCATTTGTTTATGTTGTAAAAGCATGACAATCGTTAAAAATCCAAAGAAGAAAAGTGTAAATTCATTGCAGCCAATTGACCATTCACTAGATTTAATAATAAACGTTGTGGAACGATTTTTTTTTATAATTGTTGTTGTTGCTTTCATTTTCTTCATATTTCCAAACAGAGCATACAGTGGATGTTAAGTGTTGAATGTGCTGCTCAAAATCTGACATTTATATTGATAATGATATAAATTCGGGAAAAAAACACAAGACAATTCGGGACAGAACGAGAGTAATTTGGACAGTTTTTTTTTTGAGAAAATCCATAAAGTTCTTAATGAAATTTAAATTCGTTGACACAAATTGCATGTGAATACATCGAATCAGTAGATCAAAGCCGTATTATGAACACAATATTGACTGACGAGGGCGTTAATGCTCAACCACAGTCACATCAATCGCAGCATCAACCAGACGCAACAGTTCTTCCTTCACCAATGACAACAACACCGTCAAATGAAAATAATATCGGAGAACCATCTGAGCAGTATCGAGTTGTGGAAGGTACTATTTGAAAAGAAAACAATACAAAAACAAAAAACAAACATAAATGATTAAAGAAAAACACATGAATATGTTTTAATTTGAAAAATTAAAAACCAAAAACACAAAAAATAAAAACATTTAAGACGGAGTAATATCAGAAACTCAACGACATAACTATTGTACAATGAGATACTGGCGTGTGCGTGGTTCGTCCTCATTAATTTAACAATAACTAATGCCAAAAAAAAATATTTTAGATAAAAAATTGTATAAGATACGGCATTTAGTTTTTTTTTATTAAGGTTGAATGAACACGATTAATCTCTTATCAGAATTTCTTCTGACGTAGTGATTTTTTTTATCTTCGACTATATATTCGAATATTGAGTATTTGAAAAAAAAAATGCAAATCGGTTAAAGGTGACGACTCAAAGAAAATGTGCTCTTCATTAAACTGAAGAAATGATTTTAAAAAAATTAAGAAAGAGAGAGTAAAATTCGAAACGAAAAATGCAAAGAAAACATTTGGATTGATCGTGGTTGTGGGTGAAAATAAGCCAATTTTATTTATTTCATTCATAGTACAAGAAGAGAAATGTCTCTTAAAATATTAGCATATTTAAAAAGAGATATCGATTAGAGTGAAAAATTTGTGAAAACTTTATGTGTGTTCGTGCGCTGAAGTTTGTATATGTCCAAAAGAAAACAAAACAGAAAAAAAACAACCCAAGAAATTTTTCCGTAATTTAACTCCGACATTCTTCGATTCGTTTGTTTCAGAATTAATGAAATAAATATCACACATCGATTTCTGATCTTCAACAAAATTGAATTGTCCATAGGCACATCAATTTTCATCAGTTGTTGTGTAATAAGAATATACAAGATATTCGTGCCAAAAAGGAATATGCACTTAGCAAGAAGAAAGTGAGCTAATGAGAAAAAAAAATGATAAAAAATGATCAAATTAAATGGAAAAATCAAGCAAAATTTGTGTTGTGACGAACATTTTTGTTTAGCATGTGATGTGTTTTTTTAATTGAATTTTAATAGTTTTAGCAATAGTTTTGATTTCATATGTTAAGTGTATTTCGATATTATAAATATCAGGTGATTTATATATGTCAGGACTTTGCTTGATAAACAGAAGAGAAAAAAAATGTGATTTTCGTTTATTAAAAAAAAAAAAAAAATGCGAACAATATAAACATATTAGAAAATGAATGAGTTGTGCGCGCATAAAATTTACCTTATAAAATTGATTAACTAAAATAATACCATGTCTATCGTTGTCTGAGTGCAATCCGCTTAGACTAAATAACCACAGATATTAAGCTGATGCGCTTACCTTCATGCCATCGACAATATTTGGTTGAGTTTTTTTAAAAATATATTGTGTGCTCAAGACACTTTAATTTTTGTTCCAGATTGAATAAAATCGAAAGGCATAAATTTAGAATTAAAGTGAGTGCTATATTAAGATACAAAATTATAACAACAAAAACAACAAATCGAACTATAAATGCCAATCTGCGACAATCAATTTTGTAGTTTATGTACGAATTTGTATTTGAAATTGTAAATTAATCTCACACATATTTCTATACGCGTTAACGATGCAACAACATGCCATCCCCAGAATCTGTGCAAGAGATAAAATAAAATGAAAAACTGGATGCGGGGGCATTTGTGCAATTACGAAGTTATCGTTTATGACCATACAGATGCAAAATAGGCGAAAGTTTATATAAATGGTTTTTCGACCATAATCACACATGCGTCACAATATCCTAAACAACGTATCTGTTAAACTGCATTTTCGCACAAACAGTTTTTGTCACTGCTCTTGGTATGCTTAAATGTTCAAATATAAAAACAAAACAAAACAAAAAAATAAATAAATATCTGAAATACTCATTAAATATGAATACAGAAAATATGTATTTCCTGAATTTTCCACCGGTACGAGTAAAAATGTCACCGGACCATTTGCTGTTGATCAAACAAAAGTGGATCGCATTTCTTTGACAACATCAAACCACTTTGAAGATATTAATACTTACTTAAAAGTGTCAATATCTATAAATGGTCTCTCTCAACTAAATTTTTTATATATTTATATTATCCTTTCAATTCAAAAATTTCAATTTTCTCTTCATTTTTATTAACATTTTCAATGAGGCGAAATGCCATTCTCACAATTTCATTTTCTTTTTGAATGTGATTATCGATTGACAGAAGAACTACAAAATGTTAAGGAATCCGAATTGAGGTACAAACAGCAAAACATTGAGGCACTGAAACGTGAAAAAATGCTGATTCGACGACTGGCAGCTAAGGAGCAAGAAATGCAAGAATACATTGTAAGTGTGTTGCACAACACTTGAAATCGTAAGAATTGATTTGAACAATGGTTTGAGCAATTTATCTTTATTATTTCAGAATCAAAATGCCGAATTAAAAGCTTCACAAGCTCCAACAATGGCCTCTCTACGATCAGTTTTACTCGATCCAGCTGTGAATATTTTATTTCAAAAACTTAAATCCGAACTACAAGCAACTAAAGCCCGTCTTGAGGACACACAAAATGAATTGTCTGCATGGAAATTCACACCCGATTCAAATACAGGCAAAAGACTTATGGCGAAATGTCGCCTTTTGTACCAAGAAAATGAAGAATTGGGTAAAATGACATCAAATGGACGCCTTGCAAAGTTAGAAGGTGATTTGGCATTACAAAAGAGCTTTAGCGAGGAAGTTAAAAAGTCACAATCAGGTAAATTATAGTAGAATTCCCACCTTTGCTTCATTTACACAAATCTCAAAACAAAAATGAATAACAAAACTAAAACATATATTTTAGAATTGGATGATTTTCTACAAGAATTGGACGAAGACGTAGAAGGCATGCAGAGTACAATATTATACTTGCAGCAAGAATTAAAATTAGCCAAAGAAACAATTACCAGTCTAGAGCGTGAAAATTTTTTGCTTAAGAATGGTAATGGTGGTAGCGCAAGTGGCAACAATTGTGCCTGTAGTAATAACGGTACGTATACATTTTATTTGAATTGAAAAATTGTCAAAATTCATAATTTCCTGTCTAATGTGCTAATGCTGTTATACAGGTCATGACTGTAAAGAAGAAATTGCACGAAGTAATACCAATGATTTGGACAATAGCGAGAACTATTCAAATGGAATTCAACTATCCAATGAACAACGAAGTTTACGACACAATAGAATCATTAAAAGTGGAAATGGTAATGGTGCGGGCGACAATAGTAGTAACGAAACTTCTGAGGACGATGATGAAGAAGACGATATGTTGACTTCATCAAGTGATGACAATGAAGTTTATTCTAAGAATAGTAAAAATAATAATGGAACCGATATTAAAAGAAGCAGCCAAAAGCGAACTGTATCAATGAAAACGTCAATCGAACATAGTGGCAGTAAAAAAACGCGTCGCTCATCTGCATTATCGATAGACACGAATGTAGCTGACACAACCACTGATGCCCATTAAACCGAGCTCATTAGCCAACCATTTCTCGGACTATTACCAGCCAATGATTGTTGAATTGATTGAATTACCACCAATTTGAACAAATCAAAAAGAAAAATTTTTTGTGAGTAAAATCAAGACACTCTATGCCATGCAGAGATGAGATGAAGTTTGACACCGTTTTCACAATCATTTGCAATATACGAAAAGAAAGAGAAAAAAAAAGAAGTAAATAAATTGGCATTGCGCGATATATGTTGAAACATTTAGCTCACCGAATTTGATCTTCATTTGATTATTGATTGTTTTTAGTAAGAAATCAGTTCCAAATTACTTCCAGTCAACGCAAGGTTTAATATTAACCATTTGATTGAATTCATGCGCGCCTTGTTGATTTTTCTTTTTTTTTACATTTTGCATGTCTCAATCAATGCAAATATTTTGTTTTTCTTTTTTGTAATTTTTGCACCGAAAATACAGAAAAAGTGCTTTAATTAAGAAGAAAAATACAAGAATAAAAACATGAAACAAATAGAAACAAGACAAAAATCAGTAAAATACTCTGTATATAATTAATTTTTTAGTAAAAATTTTAAGGATACGCTGAAGTTTAAACAAAGCAATTGAATCGACTTCATGACCGTTTCACATTATTGTTCATAACGGACAAAAAACACACACACACATACACACGCATATATACACTTATATAGCGGTTCACTTTTTTGGAAGTGGAAAAATATAAACAAGGAGTGATTTTTTTTACCTTGCGCGATCAAATTAATGTTCATCTCTAGCAATAAAACTAAACATTTATTTGGCAATTAAAAATTTAACAATAAACTTCATATTTAATTCATATTCGATTTTAATTGATATCTGAGACTAGAAAATATTTAGTGAAAGAAAAAATATACGAAAAAGATATTCTATCTACAAGAGATGAAATGAGAAACATCAAATTTAATACAAAATGAATTCAAGCCATAGTTTAATGTAAAAAAAAAACAATTGCGATAAAGGAAAAGTTTTATTTAAACAATCAGTTTTTATGAAAATCAATAAAAAAAAGTATTAAATCTACAAATGGTTTTATTTCGATCAATTTATTGAAATGAATGTTTAAATGAGAACGTCTGCGATTGCAACGATATTTTGTTGTGCTGACTGGCAGTTTCCTTTCCTAATTGTATCTGTTCAAATATACAAACAACTATTTTTCACTAGATGGAATCACATGTTCTGTTTTATTTAATCGGTGATGTAATTGGCCCTATGATTGACAGATGCATGTGCAAAATTGCATTTCAATCAATGTAAACATAATACATCAAATACACCGATATCGCATCGATTCACCCGAATACGATATGGATACAACGGCACGATCGACAGATGGTTACAAGCAAACAAAAGTACGTTTTATTTTTAACATTTTTTTCTACGTATATTATTATAGAGATTATATAGTTTTTGAAATGAAATGTATTTAAAAGTTATATATCAATGCCTGATATGTGGCATTGTTGCCTTCGATATTTGGCCTTTTTCGTTGCCAAAACTATACAACTATCCTCTCATTTGAGCGGAATTTGAATTAAACTAATTTCATCTGTGACAAGCAAATTTTGCTTAATTAACTTGACGGCGAGAAAGTGAAACCAAATATAATACAATCGTCAATGTGCACGTCGTTCACGCACGTACATCACACAAATCTAATGGCATATTATTCGGTATAAATTCAAAAAAATTTGTTAGAATATTCTCAGAATATAGTGATGCGATTGCAGTGCACAACAGCTCGACACAACTCGATCTAGTTCAAGGAATTCAGTGAATTGTTTGTTTTTCTACAAATATATGTATATTCATTGTAAAGTCGACAAATATTTCCGTTAACCACTTTTTAGCATTTTAAAATTACAAATTTGTAAGTTAATGTATTGTGCTTCATAATTTGTTACGATTTTCTGCACATGTGTCCAAATTTACATTAAATATCGTTTCTCATTGAAAATGGTCATTAATGGTCATTTGGTCATTCTTTCATACTACTAGAGTTCATCAAACGCGTCCGGAAGAATTGTGAAAAAGAAAAGGAAAAAAGCCAGATTAATGGGTGAAAGCAAGTGTCAACTTCAAGTCTCGTCTGAAATATATAAGGAAACCAATTTCCATAGCTCAGCTACTAAAAATGGCAGTAAGTAATATTTCCAACAAGAATCAACTCAATGCAAATAATTCAAATGATCTAATATGTGGTGTGTTTATTCAGCTTTATTATCTCGTTTCTCATTTATCAACCCGATTGATCACTGTGATGAGATTGAATCCAAATCAAAGTCATCCATTATTGATGCCGATGGAGATTTAATTGTTGAACGTAGACGTCGAGGTGTTATTCAAATTGAACATCAACAATCGACCAACTTATCACTTGTTGGTTTGCAGGTGTGGCGTGGTGCATTGCTTTTGGCCGATTTTCTATTGCATAATTGTTGGAGATTTGAAAACAAACGGATACTCGAACTTGGTTCCGGTGTTGGTCTATCGAGTAAGTGACTGTAAAAAAGACGTTCTCTTGCGAATACTTGTATATTCGACGGTGTTTGTTTCATACTAATAGGTATAGCTGCTGGGATATTTTCAAAGACTGATGTCATTTGCACTGACATCGATTCAGGTGGAATTCTGGAAGTGCTGAAATCGAATGTCAATTTGAACAAATCTGTCATGAATAATAGAGCGATATTTCGTATCATGGAATTGGATTTTAAGAAAACCATTTGGCCAGATGACCTTAAAAATGCTGTATCATCGGCAAATATAATTATTGCGGCAGACGGTAAAAAAAATCAAAATCATTTTCACAAAATTATCAATTATTATAAATTTTAAAATTCTTACAGTTATTTATGATAATGACATAACGGATTATTTTGTTAAAACAATCGAGCGCATACTGGATGTTAATGATCTCAATAAAAATAAAGATAAAGAATTGTACATCGCACTTGAAAAGCGATATGTTTTCACACTGGCAGATTTAGATACTGTGGCACCGTGCTACGAATATTTCATGCATTGTATCGAAAATCAAATACGTAAAACAACACATTTGAAAATAGAATTTGTATCGATCGACTTCCCACAGTATTTTGATTATGAACGTTCCAAAGACCTTATACTAATGAAATTGTATGTGTAAGCGTTTATGTATTTTGAACCGTTTTTTTATACTAGATTTTCATTAAATATTTGATACAGACACGTATTTTTGTCTCAATATAAGCATTTTTAATTGATAGAAAGTGTCACCACGACATTAGTTTACATATTATAATTAAAAATTAAACCAAGTTGAATTGTGGTTTTAATCCCATCGGCTCTTTTTGGTCGATTTGGACCTTGAACTGTCAGCATCTGAAGGTTTACTTTGAGAAGGCAAAGTGGGCGCAATGAAAACACCTTTTTCAGGAACAGTTTCTTGCCATGTTCGATCAGAAGAGGCCCGGAACTATTAAATGATATAATTTTCATTTTTTATATTAAATGATAAATTTGATTGATCCAAATCAATTAGATTTGTCAAAAGAATGGATTTTTTTTATATATTACCTGTGAATTGTATTGACTTCGGAACGCCTCTCTCATTGCGGCAAAGCGATTTGTGGCCGGTCCAGATGAAGACTTATTGTTTGAAGAGCTTTTAGGTGGCGATTGATAGGTTGGTGCATTTGACATTGTGCTCGCACTTGAACTCGAGCCAGAGTTCGAACCAGCGCCCAATCCGGGTCTTTCTTTGTATCCCAAACCAATGTAATTGAGTGATTTTGCTTTGCCACTTTTGAAACGTGAGCTACGGAACCAGGAGCTTTGCATGGCCAATTCAAGTAAATCATTGGGTACTTCTTGATTGGCACCTTCGAGATTTCTCACCAAATGACCAGCAAATTCTTTGTCTTTGTCGGTAACCAATGTATATGCAAAACCTTTTTCTCCAGCTCGACCCGTTCGACCGACACGATGCGTATGAGTATCAATATCACGTGCAACATCATAGTTCACCACATTTCGAATGTGCGGAATATCCAAACCACGAGCAGCCACATCAGTTGCTACAAGTATATCAACTTCACGTTTCTTGAATTTTGTTATAACTTTATTACGTTCCGATTGATCAATGTCACCGTGCAATAAGAGGCAATCATATTCCTGTACACTTAAACTGTTTGCCACTTGTTCGGCATCGGCTTTTTTTGTAACAAATATTAATACACTGCCCTGCGATAAAAATTCGACCAGTTTGCCAAGCAACCAATTCCATTTTAGTGTTGGATTTTTAAAAACGGTCATTATTTGTGTCACATCCTCATTTGCCTCACCAACATCACCTTGAACGATTTTCACCGGATCCGTAAGTATTTCGCGTGCCAATTTTTCAATACGCTTTTTGAATGTGGCACTAAAGAGAAGCGTCTGACGATCTGGACGCACATGATTGCAAATGGATCTTACTTGAGGCTCTAAATGGATGAAAAATCGAAATATATGATTCAATATTAAGAATATGAGTGAATTCATTTAGATTGCATTACCAAAGCCCATGTTCAACATCTTGTCGGCTTCGTCAAGCACCAAATATGTGACACGTTGTAAATTGGTCGCCTTCATTTTAATCATATCAATCATACGACCGGGTGTTGCTACAATAATTTCGCCACCTTGTTCAAGCGCTTTGCTCTGTTCCCATTTGCTACCACCTGTGGATGAATCAGAAAAGAAAAGTGAGAAAAAATACTCGAAAGAATGCATAGCAATGGAATTGTAATTTTAACCCACCGCCATAACAACACACCACATTTATGTTGTACACTTTGCCAAATTTTTTCGCTTCATTATAGATTTGAAGGGATAATTCTCGAGTTGGTGCCAGAATTAAGGCAATCGGCCCATCGCCAGGTTGAAGTTCCGTTTGATCCATGATGTGAACCAACATTGGCCATACAAATGCTGCCGTTTTACCACTTCCCGTTTTAGCGATAGCAATGATGTCACGACCACTCAATGCTGCCGGCACCGCTTGTGATTGGATCGGTGTTGGTTGTGTATACTCTAACTTTCGAATCACCTATATAATGTAAATAAAAAAGAATTAGTATTTGTCACAAAATTAAAATAAACGATAAGTCTTTAGAAAACAACGACATACTTTTATAAGACTGTCATCAAATCCAAAGTGTGCAAATGATGTAACGGGTCGCGGTGGTAATGGTCCTGAAACGCGTATTTTCAAATGTTGTCTTAGTTCATCTAGTTGACTACGCGATAAATTGTTTATATCGTCGTGCGGTGTGTAAAAGTTCTTTTCAAATGGTTTATATGAAATGTCATCATGGTCTATTGGCGGCAATGGATCGATTTCACGTTTTCTTGGCGGTGCTATTGGATTTCCATCTTCATCGTATTCAATTTCTACATCTGATGAATCATCAACAACACCGGCCATCGGATTCTCTTCCATATACCTATCGAATTCATATATTCAGATTTAAGTGTATATTATTTTATGTTTGCAAAAAAAGAGACATTGTTCAATTCAATTACCGGTAATAGCTCTCTTCATCGTCTTCGTCGTCAATATCTCCACGTGTTCCTAAAGAAGAATGGAAATCATGGAAAAATAATAAAAAGAATCCTTTGGATAATGGAATTCATCTATGATGGAAAAGTGAGTAATGATTACCCTTGATAGGTTTGGGTACACTGGCCGCTTGCGAAGTAGTATTTGATTTGGTTTTCTCTTTTTCCAAATGTTTTTCAATGCCCATCATATACGCATCCAATGGATCCTCGTCGTCGTCGTCATCGTCGGAATCACTCTGTAAAATCAATAAAATATCCATTTGAAATCAATCCAACAGGCACAATAACACGAAAATAATAAATACTGGTGATGGTTTGCTGGCTGTTGATGGACTGCCCGGCGCTGGAATATATGCCAAATCAGGTGTTGCTTCTTCATCGTCATCAAAATATCTTATGGTGGAATCGAATTTACATTAAATGTATTTTCATGTGATATTCTTGTTTGAACAACAAATAGAATTATTGAGTTGCTTACTCGTCCTCAGTTTTGGATTTACGTTTTCCAAGTGCATATTGTGTTGAACTGGCAAACTGAGCAATCGAATTGATTGTGCTGTATCCATGTTTTGACAAACCGCTGAACGCATTTGGCGCCGGTCCAGTTGTTGATGATGCCTGTTGATTTGTCGATGTGGTTAGATTACCTGCTTTCTGAAATTTTCCAAATCTCGTATTGGACAGAGAACTTGGCGGTGGTACCGCATTCATCGAATATCCTTTCGAATTTTGTGATGAACCCGATGATGAAGCCGAATTTTTTGGCCCACCACTATATCCACGATAGCTCATATTTTCCGTTTTCTATGCGTTTTCTTTTTGAACAAACTATTTTCACTTTGTTATTTTTTTCCTTTAAAATAAACCAGATTATTCAGTTTGAATTTTAAGTTTTTCAGTTAATTTAGTAGTAATTTCTATTATTAAAATAATAAACACTTTTGGATTGGATTTTGACAATTGGTGTTTGTTAAAAATGCTTGAAGTATACAGTGAACAGATGACAATTGAGGATAGAGCGCGCCACTTCTGAAATATCGCATTTTTATTGACATTCAAACAAATCAAAACAATGGAGACCTCAAGATGGCATTGTTTGGCTTAATTTCTCGATACCAAAAAGCGGGCATTTGAGTATTGTGCAAGAAAATAGGTTGATAGGATCAATTAGTCTACCCTGAAATAGGTTTTTTATTTATTAAAAGGATACCTTATGATTTCATCCACTATGAATGATTCTATTCGCTATGAACATTGCATTTGATTCTGCTGGTTCTGGACCCAATTTTATCATAATTTTATTTTTATATTTTTAAGTATGCAGCTCATTCGGAATAATAAATGCTGATGGTATTGATTTGAGAAAAAAATATAATGTCAATGATTGAATAAAAGAGGAAATGAATGTATCATATGGCAACTCTTTGATCGGATAAATGTACGCTTGTCAAGCAGAAGTCATAAGACGCAAAGCATCTAAAATACATGTCTGCAATTGGTATGTCTCGACTGATATACATGTAGTATAGGTTGGTCTGTCAAACACTTTGTACACATACATCCAACAAATGAAAACACATACAAGCGTAAGCAATGTATATAGCAAAGACAAGCCTAAACGAATCGACTTGTCAATAAAAATGAACAGTTCTGTTCTGTGCGCTTACCATGCAACACTTCCTTGTGTTTTATTTCCAACACACCGAGACAATACAAAGACGAAGTAGCCAGTGCTCTTGCATCGCAAGAGATTTGATGGATGAAACAAAATATTTAGACAATTTACAGTGATATTATAAATACAATTAAAAAAAAATTGTGTGTTTGTATATAGTTTTATGTTTTCATTCATTAATTGTAATGCAACTACGATTAAATGCTTCTTCAGCCTTCATGTCGTCAATATTTGCCATTTTTTTTAAATCAATGCACAACTCTTGAATCTAACACAGATTCACCTGAATACCAGTAAGTCGCACTGTACTCAAAACAGATGAACATTTATTGAATCCGTGAAATAAATAAATAAATAATAACAACACTAAGGTGATCAATTAAACGGTGTTTGGTGATTGGCGAGAGTATTCAATTTTTTATCAAATGAATTGTATGTTTTGTAAAGGATTTTTGTAAATATATTCTACCATAACTCGTGTCTTGATAAGAGTTGTGCGTTTCCATAGATGCATTTTGTACATTTTGCGTAGTCAAAAAAAAAAGTCGTATAGGAACATGATTTAGTGTACAATTAATTTAAAAAGAGTACAGATACAGCATTATCGGCGCTCTAGTCATATAGCACGGGCAAAATAAAAAAATTAACACTGCTGGAAAAATGAATGAGATCTGTTTTATGGTGATGTGTGTTTTTGAGAGAGTTGAATAAACGTGCATACCATAAAAGGAAATATTGAAAATTCAACAACGGACATATCGGATATCGAATACACCAGAAGCAACACACAGGAAAATTCCAAATTAAAAATTCGTCTGGTGTGTATCTGTGTGCGCACGTTTTGTCGAGTATTGAGTGAGTTCCAATTCCAAAGAGGGCGGAAAAGAAAAGAATGAAGAGGAAAAGAAAAGAAATAAAAGAATTACGCACACAATAAAAATAAACATGGGTAAGTTTTGGAAGAAAAACAAATAATGTAAATATAAAAAGCAAGTAAGAACTTTTTGTTTTTTTCCTGCCAAAAAAAAACACACACACACAACGTTTGATACATTCGCAAAAAATGAGAAGCCATATCGAAGAAATGAGCCAAAAAACAGAACAAATTCTCAAAATATGGATTTGTTTTTGAATACATTCATTGTGCATGGTAAAACATCTGACATTATTTTTTCTCTGTTCGAATGTTCATGCTTCAATCAAACACAACTTATTGCAACAAGATTTTATTATGTTGATTACTTACAAATGTGCTGGCTGCTTTGAAACTGCTTTGAAGTGATGCCAGAGTCTCGCGCATTTGATATATATTAAGGAGACAAGTAGATAGTCAGATAACTATTAACTGAATTGAGATGATCGTCAGCCAATTCTAAGAAGTTCAAACAAGACATCAATTGAGTCACAATGTTCAAGTGATACGACACATCGACGGCACCAGCAACAAAATATCAGAATAAAAACAAGTATGCATATCATGCGGCATTTCTTTACTCTGTCCAAATCGTAACGAGCCACATATTTGTTATGATAACGAATAGATTTTCGTGTACATACAGTGTACACTCATTGATTACCATAAAACATGTTCAGGAATTTTCTGTATATTATTGGATTCGAGAAAACAGGAAATGCTTACCCGATTCATTGTCGGACACCGTACGTATCTCTACAGATGCGTGCGTGTATCGGATTTCAATCGTACTTTTTTTGACGATATCCTAAAACGCATTTTTTTTGTAATAAAAAAGAAACGGGACCGTGCAATGTTACTATTCATTGCTTTGTAAACGTATCAAATTTCTGAATGGTATTGTTGATGTCGTGTTTAGTACCGCTATCATATGTTGACATATTTATAGATCATACGTGAGTTTATTATAAATTATATCATATTTTCGATGTGACCACCAATTGTGCCTATCAACTATACCGGTTTATTGTTAAATCCAAACTATCGTGCTAAAAAAAATCTCGTTTCCATTTTTTTCTTCATTCAATTTTTGTCACATGACCAATCGCAGTTTTCGTTGCACCATACAAAGTCGTTATTTTTATTTTCAAAATGTATTTGGAGCAAGAATTCAAAGTGTCAAAATCGTTTGTTGATTGATGTTAAATGTCTCTACGTAAATATATCTTGTAATTGAAGTCACCATTTTGTTGTAAATGTATTATGTATTCCATTGGCTGTTTGTTGGAGCGAATTCAACTTAGACGGTGACGATTCGAGAAGAACATTTTTTTTTTTAATTCAACGTACGAAAATGAAAAAAGTATCAAGATCTAACGTGCATGAGATGCGAACCGGGAAAAAATATTTCTTTGATGTTATACACCAACCGAATATATGTTTACTATTTTAGTCATTTGATGCAAAGAGATCTTGAATTTCTATGCGTTAATGTTGTTTGTTGTTGTTTTGGTTATACATTTTTTTCTGTTTTGTTCGTTTCTATAAGCTTCGTCCACATGTTGTGGGATGAAAACATGCAGTCAGACAGTCTCAATTGATTTCAACATGAAGATAGGGAAAATGAATAGAGATTTTTTTTTTACTTTTCCGCACACGTAGCGTGGGTATTGTATTAGGGCCAAAATATAATCATCACAAAAAATTGTTTTCACTGTGTTATTTACATAGAAAATACGATTAGAGGTGATTTCAGGGCATCTGCCTGGAGGGAACTTGTTCCCATATAGAGCAATATAAGAATTGTACGGTTCGACATACTTTTCTTATATCAGTTCTTATATGATTTTTTACTATTTATATGACAAATTCCTATAATTTTCGACACCACGAGGAAACGTTAGCGTTCGTTCATAAGCCCCTTTTTTTCGCTTTGAATAAATTCTGTTGAAATAGAAATACATTTTTGTTTCGATGCATTCAATTCAAATTTAACGTGGTTCATTTCTTCATAAACATAAATTCAGCAATTTAAAATGCAAGCAAGGTTTTCTGTTCAAAATTGACACCGATTAAAGTACAAAATTACGAAAAAGTTCACAATTCCCGAAGTTATCAGTGAATATCACCGACCAGGCTGAAAAAGAAACAAATGTTTTTTTTTTCTTTCGAATAATCTCTTGTTTTGCCATAAAGTGAAGAGAAGGAGAAAAAAATTCATATTTTGTAATAATAAATGGGCAAATTCCATTTTTATGGTGGTAAAATTTACTTTCTTTTACGTCTCAACGATAAATGAATTTCATTGCGAGAGAAAAAAAATCATGATATTTTTTTTCTCTCGTTGATGCGCGTGAGATTTTCACTTTCCTTTCCTAAATCACAGTTCCGACACATTGCCCCCGTTTTTTTCTCAATAAATTTTCTTCTTCTGACAAATGCTGCTTTTTTATCATGAAATTTGCATTTGCAATGATTGAAATTCACATCGAATACCGTAATGAATATGTGCATATATATTGGATAAATTGTAATTTTGATGAGGTTCATGACGAGTAGATATATATACGTAATTATTAACAACAAGAACACGATGAAAACATGAAACCATTTCGAAGCGATGAATAAAAATGTCATTCAATACCTTCAGTTTTCAATTCCATTGAAATCAAATCAAACACAAATAAAATACATTACCGCTTGAATGTTTAGAATCACAAATGTTATTTGAGGTATTAATTTTTTCATTAAAACAGCACTTTTTTGGTTCTTGCGATATAGAATTATAATTTTTTGGTCATCATCTTACTTTATAATACTTCTCTGAAAAAACGTGCCACACACACACACCTACCACATTCACATGAAAAGATTGAATTTTTGTAGGCACCAGATGCCATCTGGCATATGCTTTTTGTTTTAAATTACATTAATTTTTTTTGACGTGATTTATTTTATTGCGCACATCACGAGAAAAAGTAATGTTGGACAGAAGTACGAAATATTTTGCAATTGTCGTCATATTAAACGGTTTTTAATCGAATCTACATCGCGATGTCTTTGGAATGGTTGATAAAACTATGCAAAATAGAATTTGTGTAAATAGATTTAACGTCACTGATACGAATGCAGCCAAGCATTTTGATAAACATTTGATGTAACATTGTCAAGAGTGTAATGATATTGATGCCCATTGAAAAGAATGAAATATTTTTGTGCGTACAATGTACCGTAAAAGAAATAACGAGATAAAAAAAAACAAAATCTCATATTCAACACCTAAATGTCGCCAAATGCAGCCTCGACTCACAAATATTTGCTCAACTGATGCAAATATACATGGTTCAGTATTCATTGCCGTATGATTGTTTCTCTCTATATCTCTGTCACATTGATTTCAAGCGTTGAAAAATGTCTCTGAAATTGGATAATGTTTCATGTTTTTTACGCGACTGTGCAATTAAGATATCGATTGTGTTGAAAAGAATATGACGAGCACGGTGTAAAAAAAGTAAGAAAATCATCGTTTCCGGTTCATTGTTTATCTAAACTATTGTTAGGCTATAATAGCATCGCTTCGCTTCAGTTTCCTTCGGAGAATATATTTATATGCACAACAACGAATGTTTGCCCCATATAAATGACTATTTATAAGTAAACAAACGGGACAAACTCAACTAGTCTATAATAAAAACAATATCGCTGGATGCATCACCGACCTAGAATTGGTTGGACATGTGGCAGGAAGGTCAATAAATCGATGGCAAATCGTTTTTGTATCCGTTTATACATTTGACCGCATTCACTCTCACTCGGCCTGTCTCTAGCGAACATCTTTTTTTAAACAACCCATGCGATTATTTATCTAATGAAGTGTACATTATTCGGAATATTGCATGCATTATAAGCTAAATTTCAGTTTTTTTTATGAAATCTTCCTATGAAATTTAATAAGGAACTTATCCATCACTATTGCAGTCAACTCACAAGCATACACTCTTAAAGTAAAATCCTATTTAAATTTCCATATTTACTGAACAAGTACATATTGCAGCAATATTTTCAACAAAATTTGTTTTTATTAAATCGAATAAAATGAATGCAAGTTCTCCATGCATCACAATTGCATATGCAATGATGCGTCGCATATGTTTCACACTGAAATTCTGTTGGTTTGTCTTAGAGAAAGAGAGACGATACGGTTCATATTTTTTTCTGCTCTTCTTCTCTTTGTAATTTCTCGCAACTTATCGGGTTAAATTTTTCAAGTATTAAATGGAATTAAAGTGCTCTTTCGTACATTGTTATTTACTGAATGAAATTCTTATTGTAATTTATCTTCATGGAAAATGTATATGTTCAACCAATAGTTGATTTTAATTGAATTTATACCCACATATCAGCCAATATAGTTTCGATTTAATTTGCTGGGGAATGCTTACAATGCAACACATTGTTTGGTCATACATAAATGGGACAAGAATTGAATTCCTCATTCGCAATATTCCTTAAATGGCATGAAATACTGAGAAAAAAAAAATGTTCGCTATTCTTTAAAAAAATCGATGAAAGACAATTCAAACAAGTTTCTATGAACATTGAAGAAATGAAAATAAACTGCCCTCGATTTTTCGATCGTTTGTCAATTAGATACGATAAGTGAACACCTTCAAGTTTTCCTGTCAATATTTCAAACAGTTCATTTTTGTTAAATATACATATGGGCTTTTTGTTAAAATATGCAGCACACAATATCATACATTAGGCACCACAAAAAAGCGAGCATAAAAAGAAGAGAATCATATCGTTTCATTTTGCAAACATAATTTTTTTTTATTTCATTGTTCATCGAGTTCTGGAACCAAAAAGAAAAATAAGAAACCAGTATCCTGAAACTCCATGAAGGAATACTAGATGATGTCATTTCAAGTATTTTAAGAGTGTATTTGCCTGTCTTGCATTGCTGGCCCATTTAAACTGTTTTCATATTGTTTTTGAAATGCGAGAACCCCATTTGGGTTTGAATATATATACCAACTCGTAATTCTCCTCATTTTTATGTGCAAAATGCCATGAATTTTCATTGTGCAAAAAAAATAGGTTTTGAATGAGTATAAGGACAATAACCGTATGTAAATGAACACGGATGATTCAAATTTTCCACGGTAACATATGTGATATGTTATTAACGCAAACGATTTGTTGTTTTTATATATACACCGCGCATAACGATTTTTCAATTTTTGTCTCTTTTTATTCCATGAACAATTTATCAATCTATTGATTTTTATAAAAGAAGACAAAAAAACAACACACTTTGATATTTCAATACATATGCTTTGTTTCCGCGAATTTTTTTCATAAACAATGTTCAATGTTTTAACCAAATAGAATTCTGTCGATGTGCTTGTTGTTCGACAAGAATAGCGAATGATATAGTGAAATTTGCAAAAATTACAAGAGGAAATCTCGGTTGAGGAGCGAGAAAAGTGAACAAGAAGACAATATGCGTCGTTCGATATTCATGTGAATGATTTTGAATGTTTCTGAATTTTTGAACCGGCTATCTAAAAATAGAGCAATTTTATAATTTTCAAATTGAATGAACATTGAACACACAATTGCTTAATGTGAAACATAGTTAGGCATAGGAGAATTATTCTAGCAGCACCAGAAAAGTGTGAGAGTTCGAGCTTGAAAAATTCCGGAGAAGTTTTTTTTATTTTCTTCATGAGAAAGCTCGTTTATTTTTTCATTAAATTTCACAAGAATATCATAGGAAAAAACTTGCGCAAGTGTCATGCCCTTCTGGATGTCATGCATAAAATTTTGGCCAAAACTGACTGAATTCAATTTAATAATAATCTTTAAACTAGTTGTACGACTCTACGTTTCACATCAAGTCCTACGATCAAAGAAGTGCATTTGAAATTTGTATAAAATAAAGAGACGGACATTTGACGCAACAACGAAATGGACTCGATTAATTCAGAATTCGTCAATATTCAAATTCAATGAATATCGTTACATTTTCCCAAATGGGATGTGAACGAAAAAAAGATTTAAAAATATCGAAAATAAAAACAAACAATATATTCCAAAAATTGGCAAGAATCATACAATGGCTTTATGTTTTTAATTGGTCATCTGTATCAATACTAATATCCTTATGTCATTTCGGTAATTGTTATGGGTCAATATATGGCTGAACATCGCATTAACCGCGAAGTATCAAACATTCCATTTTTTGTCGCTATTTTATGGAAAATGACACAAGCAAGATGCTAGATAAATTGGTTCCGATTACCTTGTAACTATATAAAAAACACGGTGTCAGTCTTGGTTCGATTTGATGTTTGTTTGGCTGAAGCAAATATTTTATCGCGAGGTAGCGTACATTCAGTCGCGTTGTTGCATCATCGACAATTCAGAAATAGTATAATTTCATCGTTAAGTTTTTTTTTTATTTTTCAACCTAAGGCATTCTTATATACGCACAAAATTAAATGGTTTCAAATGAGTGAGCTCACCGCATATACAATTATACTTGCACACGGTCTGACTACGTTTGACATTAAATGTCCATAATGGTTATCAATGCGAAAAAAATTATACCCAGTTTAGTTGATTGCAGTGAAAAATTGATTTATGTGCACAAACATCAACGTGATTAGCATCTTTTTTCTTCTACATGAGTAGTGCAAAAGGGATGCATATATTTGCCACTTATTCATGCTATATAGCAATGGTTTAGGTATTTAATAAACTTTATATGCAGCAGTGCCAAATTGTCCTTCTGGCGAAGGGCGACCCTTTTAACTATATCACATTTTTTTTCGAATTGTCAAACAAAGTTTTCTCTTAGATAAAATACTCACACCAACGTAGTTTTGATCGGAAATCTGCAACAAATCGGTTGTTTGACTGTCAAAATATTGTTGTAATATGTTATAATATGCTTTATTTTTGTTGTATTCACATCGAAGCCAAATTAAATTTACAACAACATTTTTGTAGAACAACTTTAGTAAAATGAGAGCTCATGAGAGTCTTAAAACGGCCCTGATATGCAGTATGCATGTATATATTTGAAGAAAAAAAAACCGTAATTATCATTGATCTTGCGCGCAAATCAATTTAAGGAATAGATGGAAATGGCAAGAGCGGTAACGATGTTTGCCATATAATCTGGTTGTTATGCTCATTACAAATTGATCGTATCAATAAAACAACGCAATAAACAACAACAAAACTTTCTTACTTGCTTTTAATTAGATCTATAGTAGAGATTCTCTACCATTGATCTTTATACATTGATCCATTTCATTAAACTAATCGATTTTTCTTGTTTATTCTTCCTTTGTATATTCGTTGTATTGCATGTCTGCAGAGGCAAAGCCTGTGATTGAATTATACGATTTTCTGGTCGAATCTGAACTACAGCAGTATTACAATGCCATTAAGTAAGTATGCACAACAACGGTGGTTTGCCATCAAATTGCGCACATAAACTATAGTGAGGATATCGTTTTCATGTTTTTCATTCTATTTAATTTCAACCATCTCTCTTTTTTCCCTTGTGTGCATGTTCGCGTTTTGAATAGAAATGAATTGAAAATAACATTGGTCCCGCATTTGAAATATGCCAGCGATGAAGACTTGAAACAAGTTGGCTTATCAAAACCGCAAATACGTCGATTACGAAAATTCTATGAAAAGTATTATCCGCATGGGTACCTTAGCAAAATCAAGCGACTTTTGCAAAATCCAGCCGGCAAACGGGAGGAAGTTGGCGTAAGTTTTTCAATCCACTTAATTTAAATCATTTTATGTGTGCGTGCACAACAATTGTTCGTGATTAAGCATTTTACTGTTTTCTGGTTTCAAAACTAACAACAAAACGAATTATAACCAAGAAAAACAAGAATGTTCACTGAATTTTCATGGAAAATCGTAATGGTTTATGTTGTCGGTGGTGCTGGTTTTATTACTATTTATTTTTTTGCCTTGTTTTCCAAAATGTACAATCAGAGCAAACTGTAACTTTTGATTACTTATAGACATTAAACAATGCATCGTCAACGGAAACGCTCAAGACAATCAGTTCGCCAAGTAAACTGCCAAGCAATAAGCATATCATACCAGCCGATTCGATATGCGTCAATAAGCAATTAGGTGTCGGTGAATTTGGCATCGTACAACAAGGAGTTTGGACGAACGGAAACGAACGAGTTAGTTTATTTATTAAATTGATTCGATTTTAATACAAATAATTCCATAATGTTTTCTTACTCACAATTTTTTTCTTCTCCAGATTCAAGTGGCTATAAAATGTTTGTGCCGCGAGCGCATGCAATCCAATCCGATGGAGTTTTTAAAGGAAGCAGCAATTATGCATTCCATTGAACATGAAAACATTGTTCGGCTGTATGGCGTTGTTCTTGACACCGATTCACTGATGCTTGTCACTGAATTGGCACATCTTCGTTCATTGCTGGAATGTCTAAAGGATTCTGGACTGCGTGTTAGCTTTCTAACTGTGCCAACGCTTTGTGAATTTGCACAACAAATCTGCAGTGGTAAGATTTTTTTCTCTATTGTTATCTCTTATATATTATTCAATATTTTTCTATTGTTTTAAATTCTTATATAAATGCATTTGGTCACTCTAGGTATGATGTATTTGGAAAATAAACGTCTGATTCATCGGTAAGTTACATTTCCTAACATTGATTTATTGTTAAGAAAAAATCCATGGCATTACTATTAATAAAATCGACGGAAATTGAAAAAAATTCGAGCAAAATCGTGAAATGATTTTTGCCGGGTTTTGCTATCAAATTCCGGATGACCTGGATTAGGTTAATAATAAGATTTATATTTATACTACTTAGCTAATCGACGGGGATAATTCTATTTAATGAAGCAATATTTTTTTATTTCAATTTTCTTAGTGATCTGGCAGCCAGAAACATTTTAGTTTTCAGTAAAACCAAAGTAAAAATCTCAGATTTTGGTTTATCACGAGCACTTGGCGTAGGCAAAGATTATTACCAAACCAATTTTAATGTGAATCTAAAACTTCCAATTGCTTGGTAAGTCGATAATTCTTATTTAAGCTGAACGAAATGTTTTTAATTCAATAACTAATATCACAAATGCATTTAGAACAATAACAATAAAATAATGAAATCGTTTTAAAGGTGTGCACCGGAGTGTATAAACTTTTTACGTTTTACGAATGCGTCAGATGTATGGGCGTATGGAGTTTGCTTGTGGGAAATGTTTTCGTACGGTTTTCAACCATGGGCTGCGTTAACCGGTCACCAAATTCTCGAGGCAATAGACGAACCACACTATCAAGTATGTTTATTTCATCATTTGAATAACTTGAGTGCTTCTTTATTTGTTTATTATTATTTTTTTTTAAAATTCGAACCAAAATGAAAAATATTCATTTCATTTGTATTTGATTTTGTGCGTCAGCGTCTTGAACAACCCGAATGCTGTCCAAAAGAGTATTACACATTAATGTTGAAATGTTGGCAACATGATCCGGCGAAACGTCCAAAATTTGCTGAAATTCATACAATACTTCCTGATATGAAGCCCGAACAATTGAAAACGGTCATTGCGTACGGTGAAGCAAAAAAGGAACATTTAATGTATCGACAAAACGATATAATCACCGTACTAGACAAACCAAACAATACAACATATTGGAAAGGTGTTTTAAATTCTGGCAAAACGGGAATGTTTGATCCAAGCAATACGGTTGCATATTTGGGCAACAGTTTGCCATCGTCAGTGAATCGAGACTCTTTTGTTCGTGGAAGTGAACGAACAAGTAGCAGACGTAAACTTTGCCCCGAAATGATTTCGGGCCCACAAAATGATCTGAAACACACCGGACACGTTGGCTTGGATGGGGCCTACTTTGGTGATGTTGCATTCTTATCCTCATCCAATTCACAATCGGTAAGTTAATTTAAATCATATTCATTTTATTTTAATATTCTCACATTCAATGTGTCATAAAATTCAATTCAATAAAAATAAAAATCACAAATCACTTCATCAAATTTACTGGTTCTTAACCATCTTCCCCTACCTCTCAAAGTACAATCATGTGCCAAGACAAATTGTCACTCCATACAAGCCATCCGAGGATATCGAACAAACACCATTGTTGCCATCAACGCCAACAAGTCCCGATTCACTTCAAACGGCTAGCGGTTACTTTGCCGAAAATAATCACACATTTTTAAATGCACACTCCGCACAAACCAATGATGGTTTTAATTCATCGTTCGATTTTTCAAATCAAAATTCATCGACACCCGTCACAGCATCAAATGCTGGCTTCACATCATCAAATCCGTTTGTTAATTTAGATAATTCAACGCACAATAAAATTCTCAGTGAAGGTGGTGGTTTCACAAATATTTTGGAAGAGGAAAACTTTTCGAAGGTAAACAAATCAAATATATATTTAAAAAAACAATATGTTTTATTGCAATATCGCTCACACTTTGGTCAATGGATTTCAGTGATTGGCTCATTCAAATGTTAATTGTTCTTTTTAATTGAATTTTTTTTCTGTAGGAACATACTGGCAAAAATGGTATGAAATGGGTGGGCGATGCTACAAGTGCAGTTGCCGATCCAACACATGAATATCATGAAATTTCCGACGATGAAATGCCAGGCGAAAAATTCGATTTGGGCCCATCACTTTTAGATGAAATGGATTTCATGTTTCGATCGATGAGCGCCAATAGCGAGCACGGTGAATTGAAATCACCCGATTTTGAGAATAACAATAAGAAAAATGAAATCGCTGAATTGGCGGCAAAATTTCAACGTAAAAATAGTGGTGGTTTATTGCCCGGTTCAATGTCATCATTGAAAACGAAAAAGAAATCGGGAAATGTACCCAGCGGAGCTGGAAATGTAAAGCCAATCTCAACAAAAGATGAAAAAATGCTCAATCAGGCCATTGATTTTGCCAACGAAATCAGCGCAAGGTACACAGTTATTGAATTAAAAGATTAACATTTTCTCATCACTTTCTTGTGAACTACATTTCTTTTTGTTTGCAGATCGATGACCGACTTAGTAAACGATTCGACCAGTACTCAAAGTCCGAAACGAAAATTTAGTTTTCGTTTTCCTCATTTGGTTCATCATTCGAATAATGGTGATAAAGATTTGGCAGCGTCGCCTAGTAGTCAACATAAAGGTTCACATGGCTTCAAAACACGTAACTTTTCTGAAGAAGCCCAAAATGTTCCCGATTTACAGGTACAATGGACATATTTTTTCAGTTATGTTTAGTTCGATTGTTTTGCACTTAAGCACATCGATTTCACCGTTTTTTTTTGTTGGATCTAGCTAGATAGATTTTCTTTTATGTTAAATGTTCATTTTGTTCATTTCACTTGTTGAATAGACGTTGTGAGGTTACATATTGTGTTTTATTTTTGTTATACACAGTAGTCTTCCCCAATATTAATTTATTTATATGAATTTCTCTCATTTTCCATTTTTCTTGTATTTTTCTTGCCGAAAATACAATAAATCCAAATCGACGGCATTTTTATTCGTTCGTTTTATTTTTGTGATACAATAATTGCACAAATAACATCAATAACCCACTTTTTCTCCATGTGAATGTTTTATTTTATAATTTGGTATTATATATATTTTTGTCGAAGCAGTTTATTGATTATGTTACCAAAGCATTTGATTTGTAGTTAGATTTATTGTATTATATGGTGCTTTGTAATATTGTTTCATCTTTAATAGACAAGACTAAAAAAACTAATCTCTATTTTTGTTCATACTTTCTTCTAACGCTCAAAATGATTTTCATCCCATTTCTGATAAAAATCATCAAACAACTTGTCGCATTCATCGAAAACCACCACGAATACTGTACTACTATTTCATTTATATATTTTTTCTTTTTTTTCGATGAAAAAAAAACCATTGTTGTTTTCGTTGTTTTTTTTTTATTATTCCAATCGGTTTTTGTATTTGCCTTTGTTTCATAAATTTTCTCATTTGTTTGATACGTGCCGAATAAATAGCGCTTTCGTTCATTATCCGAAATTGAAAAGTATCATTCAATCGATATGAGATATTCTCATGGCGAACGAGATCCATCTTTTGAATATCGTTATCGTAAAATGCGTGAATTTTCGTCGCGACCATTTAAATTTGACATATCGGCACCTGGCATGGAAACCGATGGTGGCATCAATGATGTCAATTATAATGGTTTGCGTGGCAACTATGAAAATTCATCATCAAAAGTATGCACACTGAGTCAGAAAACAAAAGATTTTATTGGTGAAAATTTGATTGACATCGAAAATACGTTGAAAGCATTGAATTTGGACTTTTTACAAACGTTTAATGATTTGGAAAAAAATGATTCGGCCGAAACGTTGTTCGGTGAAAATTATACGTACGATGCTACCAACATCAATCCAAAGATCTTAAACAAGGCATTGAAATTGAGTAAAATTCCAACGAATTATAGTAGTATGGAAGTAAGTCCAAAGTCAACAAAAAGCTCACAATACAGTCCATTGGATAAGCAAGCAGCTCAACCGCAATTCCATGGAAGTGTTCATTATTTAAATGAGAGTGGCTCAACGGATAAACTATTGGATGGTAAACGTTCGAGTACACCTGATACTGGTTTTGCATCACGCGAAACAAACACTTCATCACGACGTGGCAGTCAAAAAAGTAGCTATAGTCCACAAGACACACATTTCAGTCCGAGCTATACAACACAAATTGAAGAGGCACGTGCTGCATATGCTCATCTTAAAGCAAATGGTTCGTTTCCAAGTCGACAGCGATCGATGTCATTTACCGAAAATTACGATTTAAAATCGCCAGTGTTGTCAGAGCCACAATTTGCAAAGATTCATAATTCGACCACTGTTGGTCGTACAAATAGCAGTGATGGACAAGCTGTACGACGACGCCATCGAAATACAATTTCTCACAAGCCAAAAAGTATTCGTGCACGTAATTTGCGTCGGCTTAGCTACAATCCAATCATTTTGGACTCGAGCTCGTCGTCAAACAGTGAAAATGAATTCAATCACAGAAGTGTTGAGAATGTTCGAACAATTGATAGTCGTCGACATCACAGCTATCGATCACATCGAAATTCAGCTGCATCGCCAATTAAATCCAATGATGATATATACGATTTTAAGAATTGGCATACAAATTCCGAATCGGATATTCGATTGAAAAATCGAAAAACTCAGGCGCATTTTCAAAGCAATATTTCTTATACGCCAAGCCAAGATAGGCTATATGGTTCAAATGCCAGCATAAAGAGTGCACCACAGTACAATAATTTTGCTTGTGATCGCCAAATGCAAAATTATTTAGGAAGAAAAATGAATTATCCACATGCTCAATACAATGATTATGCGGATCAATTGAAACTGGCACCATCATCTTCATCACATGCTTCCAATCAAACTCCAATTAATTTTGAACGAAACGCACATCGCAGCAGTTCACGTCGTCGTCAACAGCAGCAAACGTTACGAAATAGTTATTTATTGCCGCCACCACCACCACCTCCATCGTCCAATAATCGCACATATGATTTGAATGCGTATAGCTTGTTTTCACAATTTGATGTGAGTAAATTAACGGGCAAAAGTCCAACCACACAAAGTTTTTTGCAAGATGCGCAAAGTCCGAGTAAATTTGAAACAAAACCGCTCGAAACAAAACAATTAACAGCCACAAGCAACAATAGTGCAACTTCAAATACATTTCAATGGCCCGAAAAAATTCATGTATCAGCCGTTGCGGCACAAAACAGCAATATTATGTGGCCACAAAAGCCATCGGTACAATCGTTGCATACGGTAAACGAATCCACTACACGCACTAAACAAAAAACCGATTCAATTCTTAACTTTTTCTCGTTTAATATGTTCAATTTGTTTGATTAGGTTCGACATGACTTTTCAAGTGATGGTTCATCCAGCACTGAAACTGAGTTTCCAACTGCCGATTTCAATCCTCGATTACCCCCAAGTCCAGCACCATAAATTTTATCCATGAACATAAAACATATACATATATGCAAATTTAGATAGTAATTTGACGTTACATTCTATTTTGAAAACAGCAAAAACATACACAGATATCTAAAACAAACAAACAAACAATCACAAACCCATTGCATACATAATAATCGATTTTGAAATAATGAACGGAAAGACGATGAAGGCAGAGCACAATTGAATATTTATCAAATATAACCATTGCTTAACAAAAACATTTACTATTAAAATGACAACATTCTAAATGTTAATTGTCTTAATTATTGATTTTAAAATTGCGAAGAAAAATAAAGAGAAGAGATATTGTTACTAATTTTGAATGGGGGATGCTTTTGCTCGCCATCAAGCCATTTATATACTATATGCTGCACCATTTTTTTCAACATACACACACGTTTATAAAAAAAAACACACAATCATTTTTCTAGCGCAACTGTATTCAATTTGTTAAAACAAAATACAAACTTATTCTGCTAACCAAAGAAATGGAACAAAAGAAATGTGAATCTACAGTAATAGTCGAGTACTATCTTTTGCTCTACGTATAACAAAACGCAAATTTTTATTTACAAAATAATATTTCTGTGAATTTACAATTGCATTTGTGGTTGTGGGCCAACCTTATATACAGTACGAATGAAACTAGATAAATCCGTTCGCAATGTAAATAACATACTATGCCTCTAGACCTTTCTCAAAGCAATGAAATGTATTTTCAAGCCACCAATTCCAGATATCTATCATTCTTTTGTTTTTGAAAGAGCAATCAAACCAGATAATCAATAAAAAAAATTAACAAATTTTTAAATTTAAATGTACTTTTTATTGTGGATTGATAATAACCACGTTAAACAAAAGAAAACATAAAACATGGGCTTAAAAATATCGATCGATTAGCATCGATTTACGATGATTGTTATATCATAATTCAAATTAATCAAAATATTTTGAAAGGCTCAGCATTTTAGCCAGAAATAAATAAGTCTGCTATTCAATATAAAAGCCAAATAAAAAAATAAAAAAATAATAAAAAAAATTACATTTGACTATTGAAACTATTCAGAATTATATTAAAATGTCAATATGATAAGGATAAATGCAAGAAGCGACAAGCGTTTTCTCGTTTAAAAATAAACAAAGCAAATTTACAATGAACAAAATTAATAAGCAAATATAAAAAACGTTAATATCATCTACAAAAAATTGATCAATTCATTCATTGTTTTTAACCATTGTTCTTCTAACTTCCTGATTCACTCTGTACTTCATATGAGCAACTAATTGGACGATCTAGATTTTGATCATCTCATTTTTGAACCAAGCGCTGACTATGCTCAACTTGAAGTTTTGTTGTCCGCCTTATTTTGCAATTTTTTATTTGGTTATTTTTTGAATTTTGCATTTATTTTTTGTTTGGTTTTTGTTTTTATTTTTTGATTTCAATTTTTTTTTTTTTTCATTTTATTTAAACAAATTATCCCTCATGTGAACCCAATCTAATGCCCGGCCAACAACACAAAAAAAAAAACAATAAAATCTCCAACTAACCACATCTATGCGCCAACTAACCCACCATGACTACAAAATCCAATCCCAATCATAACACATGACCTCCATACGCACATACATCAAATCTCGTGATAGGATTTTATAACAGAGGAATGTCGCGAAGCGTACAATAGCCTTGTGGAAAAACCGGCAGCCACGCTACATCGTTTCAACAATGTTAAATTAACCAGTTTGAAAAATTCAATGCAGCTCTCGTCATCCATGTCTGCGCTCCAAGTACCTGCTAGTAAATCAACGATGACTAGTACACCTTCAATTCCCGCAGATAATTCACTCGCTTGTGCGCAGCCATCAATTACACAGAATTGTATGAAAGCAATTATTTTTATTGTAAATTAATTAAAAAAAAAAACAGAATTGTTTTTTATTGTTAAAATGTGATCTCTTTATGTATAGGTACCAGTGAATTAAAAATGCCAAGTAAACCAGCACCACGTCCAAACACATTACCGAATCGAGGATCAGCACCAAATAAACCAATTCGAACTGATTTGGATACAAATCCATTGCACATTTTACGCGATAAAAATTATCGTATCATTCGACCCCGAATGAAAGTCAATTCAATCGGAATGGACCCAACATCAATTGATTCGTCAATGCCAGCTGATCCCAATAGCAATCAGGATGATGCTTGTGAAAGTCCCAGTTACCTAACAAACACACAATATACATTCTCCGAGCGTGATGTAAATATCCATCATAATGATACGCAAAAATTCATTGGCAACAAAGAAATTGAAAATTTAAATCCGATTCCATTGCCACCGCGTGATCGCAATAAAGTATTATTAACGAATGTCAAGCGACACGTACGTAAGCATCCACTTATCATTCCGGCGTCCGGTCTTCAACGAACACTAAACAAAGTAACAACGCCAGTGGAAGAGAAAAATCCATTAGCCGGATTGACGACGGCCATCAATCACGACGAGATCGACGGCAGTGCAAAATCATCATCCAATTCCAACAAAATCAATTATAATATGCCAAGAACATCTACAAAACCAGCCGAGGTTATGAAATTGACGCAATACACATCATCTTGGTAAGTGGATAGTCTTTGGAATTCAATTCAAATTAGAGCAACTTCGTTAATATTTTGTAAAATTGTATTTTTTTTTCTTCTTTTTTTTAAAATAGGAAAAAGTTTATTGACAAAAAATTTGCTGAAGATGAATGTCGAACCTATGAGAATTTGGATGCATTGCGAATGCAGGTCGATAATACTGATTCGGCATCGTTGCATTTTGAATCGATACTCGAAGGTGACATCAATCAAGTTGGCGATGCGAGTCAGAACAGTTCCGGACATAATTTCCTATTTGAATCAGAAAACTATGATATTCCGCGAATGAATGCCAATGCAGTTGTACAAAAATCAGTTCACGACACTGAAATGGCATCATACGAAAATACGAATCTAAATAATGATATTGAACGAAAACGACGAGAATTCGCACTTAAGTATCCAAATTATGCACAAACAAAGGATGAACTAACCGATAATGCATTATTCAATAAATTCCGTAGTGCAGCTGATGAGTGTATTGCCTCGTCTAGCGTTATGACGCATAGTACAATTACCGACGATGACATTAGTGGCGATGAATCAAACGATGAACTGCCAGAAGGAAAATTAAAAGATTCGAATTCGGTAAGTTGTGAAGATTTACTTGAATTTGCCAACAAAAAACCGAAAGGCAGAGAGCGTGGCATTGAATCTGATGAAGTTCGAATTATGAGCAAAGTATTGGGAACCAATGTAAGTTTTTATTTTTCCCAACTTTCGATGTATTGTCACTTTTAGAAAGACCAAGAATTTAATAATGTGTCATATTTTCTCTCTCTCTCTCTCTCTCTCTCTCTCTCTCTCTCTCTCTCTACAGACAACACCTGAACAGTGCATCATTGCGTTGGATTTTATCGAATGGAACGTGCATCGAGCAATCAAGATAATCTCACTTCAAAATGCATTGAAACCTAAACGAAATATTACGTTCGAAGAGTGCGTAGAAGCTCTGCAAAAGCACGATTGGGATCTGCATGCCACATCTATAAAATTGGGAACCAATTAATTATATGTAGTCAGTCCAACAAGTAGTATATCAGTGTACTGCAATAATTTTAGTGCCAAAATCGCGATAATTTTAACTTCAAGCAATGATGAATGTTTTTTAATCAATGATGTTGTAATTTTTTTTTCTTTGTAGAACTCTAGTTCAGTGAAACATTCATAATTTGCAAAAAAAAATGTAATAAGATTTTTAGTCACAGTATTTTACATACCTAAACACTGTTTACAAATCATACGAACGCACACAGATATTTCATTTAATATTAAATAGAACCATTTTTCCACAGTTCGATTATAAAGAAATAGAATTGTTTTCGTACTTACACTTTGTAATACAAAAGAAAAGAATATTATTATTAGAAAGAAATGCAGCAAATTTTTCATTGTTGACATACATGAAAACTATTCGAAGAATAAAAAAAAATGCTTTTTACCTATGGAATCAATATCTGTTTCAATTTACAATCCAACTAGACAAATAAAATTATTTTTTTATTTTTTACAGCGACTTTTTCATTAGCAAGGTGTCAACACCTTGAACATGACAAAAAAATTAGTCCAAATGAATTGATCCTATTTTTTTTACTTTTTGTTAAAGTCTAGAAAGTACTCCTCTTATTGAGACAAGAATGAACATCCAAAATGATTGCGTCTGGCAAAGGACGCACTTTATCAAATCACTTAATAGTTAATAAGTTACTTTTTCTACAAGAGGGGTAAATTCATTTATGTAGTTTACAATCGAGATGAAATCGATGACTTTATACTTAAAAAAAGAAATAATATCTCCTTCGAACGCAATTTATGTGACATATTCGCTTATTATTAACCATTTCAGAAATTCAATGGAATTTCAGGTAGCTTTGATTCTCATCCCATCCAAATAACCATCATTAATGCTTGGATGCGATACCAATTTTTTGTATATTCATAATTGGAAGCATTTCAATTGAAATAATTGTTTCTCACATTTGGTAGGTTTCATCATCTGGATAAATCAAGAGCATTAATTCATTTTCAATAATTATTTTTCGACAAAGTTCTACAGAATTGTTCACCGAATAAAGCGAAGCATTCGCGTATTTTTTTGGTAAACCAACACGTACTATTTTACTGAAATACAATAAGATTTTCGGCAACAAAGGAATCCGTCTGATGGTAATAATTCAAGGTCACCAGCGAACTTCAATTTATTTACCAATATGAAGAAATATGAAACACAACATTTTCTTTGTGCAAATATCTCTTTTCTTCGTCGTTGAATATATTTTATTATCGCTCATTCAATGTTACACAGCTAATATTGTTTCGGGCAAACATATTATGTATATGCACGTATGTTCTTCTTAATCCGTCTCTTTTTTGTGCGTTTCGTTGTCGTCATCATCGCTGTTGTTGTCTTCGTTGTAGTTGTAATCATTCCATTTAAATATTATTGTTCTGGTTTTGCATTTTTCGTCAATACAATGAATTGCCGGAGAATCATGACAGGGGATGTAGTAGACGTACAATGTACATAGCAAACAAGCCAAACAATTGGAAACAAAACACTTATTCCACGTTGTGAATTAGTCCTGTATTAGTCGTAAAAGAATTGAGAGACAGAGAGAGAATATGAGCCATTTGGAATATAGCTCATTAAATATGAAGTACTGTTTAGCATATTCTGAATTTGCGCCGGTCGATTCGTATTCCTTAAGTGTTCACATCTTTTTACCTCTTCAAAGTTTAAGTGGGGACGAACTTCTTTTCCATTTTACCTTTTTTTTTTGGTTCTCGCATTTACGTCTTTGGCCAAAAATTCCAAAAACAAAAAATAAGATAGAATCTAGAATATTCTTTAATTCGTACGCATGTGTGAGTGATTTTTTTTATTTGCCCGCTCTATTGCGTGCTTTGTTCAACGGCTCTACTTGGCACAACTATAATACAAATGAAGATGACGAAAAGTAGTCAACCGAATGCAAAACCACCAAGTGTGCAGTCCATTGAAGCATTCGTTATTCATATAAATAAGATTTTGATGAATATAGTTTATTTTACACTCACTTCGAATAAATGATAACCCTTCGATTTTTTGTTGGATAATTTCTTTTAAATGGATTTACTCTTTGTGACAAAGCATTGACTTGTCGATTTTAATTGTTTTGTCTGAAGCACCAGATATGGCCAAAAAAATATCTGATCAAAATACAGATTGGTTTTCACTTCATTGCTTCAAAAAAAAAGCACTACTGAGCACTACTGAGACTGCATGTTGGGACAAAAAAAAATTCGTTTCTAGTAATATAATTTTGATATAAATGAGATTGATAAAACAACTAATCTTATACATTTTCAATTTAGTTTTCCACAAAATTAGATTTTTCCCTTTTATGGCATCTATTATAATTAAATTTCCTGTGGACACAAATGAATTGTTCTAATACTGCAGAGTAGAAATATTTCAAGTGATGCTGATATAGGTATATATCAAGTAATTGCTGTGCAATTTGATATAAACTTATTCTATTCATTAACTGCTACGTAAAAAGAGTCTCTCTATCTCTCCCTCTCTTGTTTAAAAAGACAGCTTAAAATGCTTAAATAAAAATCTTACATTGTACATCATGTTTCAATGCATCACTCTATTTATGTTCAAATGAAGAGCATTGGAACCTGATTTATAACGCTGAAGTGATAGCCAACTAACAAGTACATATACCGACACATCAACAAAAAAGGACATCCAGGCGCTATCTACATAAAACAAAAACGATTTGTTTCATAATATTTGTATTTAATTTCTCTCAATTGTGAATGTACGGCTTAAGAGCAAAGGGTGACAATTTAGTTCGAAATATATGTAAGTGTGAGACTGAGAACCATGAATTCAAGCCTGAGAACAGCATATTGCAAAGATTCGAACTTATTTCTTTGTTTTTTAATGCAAATTTATGAGATCTTTTGAAGCATGAAACGGTCTAGCAATGTCCTGCTGAATTTTTACAAAGCATGCGACAATATTTGACTTACATGCACGTATTTACACGACCATTATTCCAAAATTTAAAAAAAATGTTTAAGTTGTATTTAAAACAAAAAATCACGAAAGACGTACAATTGCCGAAGCATATCTTGGAAATGACGATTGGAGCGGAGGGTAATCGTCAACATTTTTTCTTCTACAAAAAATGTCTAAGTTTGTAGAATAATAATGTCAATTCCGTTCAATTTTAATGTATGAAGTGGCCAAAAAAAATCTCAACATGGAAGATGATTTTAACATAATTATTTCATCAAGAACATTTCGTCCACAGCTTCTGAGCAGGGGTCCGAGGGGTCTATTTGCCCCTCCTAGAGAGTGGATTTGGAAAATTACCCCTTTACAAATTGAGAAAAATAATCCAAATAATCTTTCGATTTGCTAGGGATTTTCGCCAAAAAAGTGACTTCAAAAAAAAAAAACGAAAAAAGGTAGAGATTTGTATAGAATGGCGAAACTGAAAAATTACCCCTTTACAATTTTGATTTTTTTTTTTTTTTTTTTTGAAATAACCTGCCTTGGAACGCTACCGTCAGAAGCTATGATTTCGTTCTAATGTCCTTTAATTTTATTTATCAACACAAATTGGAGATGGCAAGCATCGTTCTGCTTTTTTTTTTATTCAATTTGCGTTAGTATTTCATTTTGTAATCAAGGGATGCGAAAAATCAAAACAATTTATTAGCTATTTTGCTTTTTCAAGTGGAAAAAAAATAACTGAAACACACTTTGAATTTCAGTTCACATTCGTCATATATCGAGCGTTGGTGGCACTTGAACGTTGTGCAGCATAGCCATAAAATGCTGGAAATATGGTCAGATTTTTTTAAAGCAGACAATTTTGTTTTGTTCACAATTGATACTAAAGATAAAAAGCAAAGAAAACATTAGCAATTGGCGGTGCATTGCGCTCACTAAATCAATTGAATGTTAACTCAATCGCAAATGCTTTGTTTTGTGTGCATCAAGCGTATTCATTCTGGATGCTAAAAAATGTTATATTCAAACATTTCAATGGTGCAAACGTCGCATTGCAAAGCAACAACATTGAAATCCCATGCACCACTGATACTCGGTCTTTTTTCCCTTTTTCCACTCACTCACACGCTCACTTGGTTTCTCTTGTTTGTTGTGAGTACTGTTTCGCGACATTTTTAAAAACGAATTTCTAATTTATTCACGACAATAAAAAAGAATATACACCCAACTCGGTCTAGTCCGAAAAGCTAACGGAAAAGCATTTGTAATTTCTGTCATTTGTAATCGATAACATTGTATGATGATTTTCAGTGTGTAACTGTATCTTGTCAATATACACAAAATGTTTCTACCCTTAAAAAGAATCATACTCGTCATCAATTTAGCTGGGAGCAAAAAATTCGGTCAACTTCCGACATATAGGAAACGAACGGCAATTCTAACTTGTACAATGACGTCGCACAATCAAATAACAATTTCCGCATTTGAGCTGAGCTTATCACAATAATCATTCCTGTTAATCCAAGCGCCAAGGTCACATCGACACACTGTGGTCCGTTCGTTTCACGGAAAAACTAACATCTAAAATGAAACAGTATTTTTTGTAGCAGCGTGTAATTTAAAATGCTGCATAAATAGGCATATAATGTGTATGCCTCGGAAATAAGAGCAAAATGGATAACATTCTTATCAAAAAAAAAAAAAGATTTCTTGAGAGAAGCACAATTTTTTCCGTATTCCTTTTGTTATTTTCGTCTTAGATGATAGGAGTATGATGCTGGATCGCATAGGATGCATCTTTTTTGCGTGGTTTTAATTGTTACAAAACGAACGATATCATTAAAACTTCAATAATTCTGGCATCGCTGACGTCGAATCTCTTTTTTGCAAAAATAAGCACCAACGTAAAAAAAGCTTGTTTTCATTCATTTGTTTCGCTGTAGGTTGGACGGATTTTTGTTTTCAAAATTGTGTGCGCGTGTATGTTTGCCGTGTTTGCACAATTCGATTGAAAACAACATGCATTTTGGTAGCGAACGTACTGAGAGTGTATGGGAGTGAAAAAGAACTTCTAGTTTTATGGCAAACAACAAAAAATGTTGTAAAACGGAATTGACATCAAATACAAGTCGCTGTGTTACCACCTTTTTTCCATTTTTATTTTCATGGCTCTTACTTAAGCACGTTTCTGTGTGCGTTGGATTTCTTTGCTACACCATCTCGGGATTATTTTCCCACTCTTTCTGGCCCTTTCCTTTTTTTTTAGTTCAGTATCAACGTGTATGTGCATGAATGAAGGCACATGCTGACGAATTCCACATAAACACCAAACTAATGCGAAAACTGGAAATCGTTTGTGACATTATAAAGCAAAGCCACTTCTTGCGCGTATGACGTCCGAAACCAATTTCGAATTTTATCGCACAATGTAAAAGCCGATATATCGTAAGTCTGTTCTGACTTATACTTTTTCCCCTTTCTATCTCACTCTCACTTTGGTTCAATCTATTTTAGTTTTTTTCTATAGATATACTATTTGCGCAATCCGTAGTTATGGTGTTGCTATCATATTCGCGCCATCGTCATTGGCTGACACAAAATTATCTATTGCGTCTTTATACTTTCACCAAAAGCCAGGACAGACATTGCATGCATTTTCTCGCTGAATTTCGACATGTAAATGCATTAGGTGTGAACAGATTGGCAACCAGCAATTTTTTAAACAATTTTCCACAAAGATTTTTTTTTTGGGAGGGGGGGCTATTTATTGGGGGTTTTATGAGTTTGTCGACATTTTTTTGGTCAATAAATGTTTTACTTTGTCGTCTAAGTATCGATACCAAAAATACCTTGGTAGCTCTTTTCGCTAGAGCCTAATGAGCATGAATTGGAATGATTTAATGCACTGATAAACCACATACATCGAATAAGGTGACCGGATTTTTCAGACAAATCTCTGTAGTTAAATAGTTTTTTATTTCTTTAATTACATTTTCTTGTCAAGAAATACGCCATTTCATTACGTCAAAAAAAAAAAAATCAAAACCACAAGAAATTCATTTTTCGAAGAATACAATTCGCCAGATACCCTAATTATTTGACTATACTGTATGTAAATCATCAAAATTGGTGCGTTTACACTATTGTCCATTTCAAAGTAGCAGAAGTAAATAAAACTTTTTCACCGATTTTACCGAAAATATTTTCATTGCCAAAAACTTCGAACGTTTAAAACTTGCTGATCAAAGTCAGTTTAAATGAAACGTTATATATTCGAATCAGAGAGATAAAATTAGAGTCGAATTTATAAATCGAAAACGGACGTTTTTGACATGATGCACGTGGAAAATCCGTCAACATTTTCCATAAACGAAACGTTGTAAACGCAACCCTCCCATCAGCATAGGAAAATCCATTCACCGATTTCACCACATTGAGCAATATAGTGTGTGTTTGAGTGTATATATATGCGAGTGTTTGCGCGTGTGTATTATTTGAATTGGATGTCTACTTGGTTGCGCGAACACAGCGACAGATACGTGAATGGTTTCGGTGTGTTTTCACCCTCTGAACCTCTTTTTCATTCCAAATGCGCAATAGAAAAGCATTGGCATCCGTTTGTCTTTGTTTCACATCAGATTTTTTCCTCTACATATCTCATTCACGCCGTAAATAATGTATGCACACGTATATACGAATATAGCTATATGGTGCGCCATCGTGTTTTCCAAATCTATATAAAGCAATATGTACATATATATACATGGTTTCACATATAAGTGTGCGAATCCGAATACACCTCTATTCCCTCGTTCATTCGTATCGCATTGAGCCACAGCACATTTCTATAGCTTCAATCATGTTGGTGAATTTTGAATTGAGTCAGTCCCTTACAAAAAGCTATTGTTTTCGGTCGTTTTTATTATATAACTCTGTCTCCGCGCCATCAGAAAATTAATAACTGAATAAGAATTAAAATCACGCGAAACGAATAAAATAAATAAACAAACTAATTTCAGTGTGTGTGATAGACATCGAAAGTGATAACACAAAACCAAAAAAAAAAACACAAAAATCGTGAATTTATGTTTGCTTAAAACTGTTACCAAGTAAATAGAAACACGGACGACGGCAGGAAATGTCTTGGCACAAAAAAACCAAGATTTTTTAAGTCATCAGATAAACACAATTCTTTTTTCAGTAAATTACAACCAATCAACACTGTAAAAAAGTTTGAATTGTTTTGTTTAAATCGATTGTTTAATAAAAAAAAATTAATCGAAAATCAATTGCAATTCACCGGAGAAAAAATACACATACACATACAAACACACAACTATACAAAAGTTATCCAAAAATCATAAAACGAATTTTTGTTACATCTTACATCAGTTTGTCTGCGAAAGACAAAGAAGAAAATACACCAAAATCACAACAAATCGATAAAAAGTGAGTATTTATGGTTCACATTTATTTTGTCATTGTACGGATTTGATATAGTGAGTTAGTGTCTGTGTCAAACAAAAATTGCAAACAACAATTCATAGTTTGTCAATTTGGTGGATAGATCATACGAAGAGTATCGAATCGCAGGTCATCAGGCAAAAAGTGTTTTCAATTTGATTTATATTAAGTGTCATTTTCTATCTGATTTTGCCACACTCCCTTTCTCTCTCACTCTCGATGGGTGTGTGTGTGTGTGTATGATATATCCTCATTATAGAAAATATGCTGCCTTATTAATATGATTTAAGTTGTTTCCTGTTGATATGAGATTCAAAGATAGAAAAAAAAAATAATCGTAGGTGTTTCATGAACTTTGATATACTCGTTATTTGATTCGATTTTGTATCGAAGTTGATTTCAATTCCGATTTTTATGTGTGTGTATTATAAAAACAAAACAATACGCGCCGATTTGCTGCAAATGTTGATGGATGAATCTAAGCGCATGCAATTCGCAATAAGTTTTACTTGAATGTTTTCGCATTAATCATCATTACTTACATGAATGAAAATGTTGAGACGGAATTGAAAGGCTGTGAATATTGTGAATAATTGAAAATGCACATGATTTGAATTTGCCATGTTTCTTCTAAGTCAAAAAGTTGCCACATCTTTGGTTGGTTTTGCTTGCATTTGCGAAAGCTTTATTGTTGTTTACATATTCCATCTGCTTCTCGGTCGCCATTCTGTGTCCAATGAAATGAGAAGGAAAGTTAGCGTTCAGACCGTTGAATTGATTGCAATTTTCTCAATCAATCAAAATTTGAATCTTTGAGCTTTCTCCCATGTAAGATGATTGAGAATGGGAAAATTGTCGGTTGACTAGTATGTACTATACCGCGCACATGCCAAGCCACCGTGTTCAACTATTTCATGGTGTCTATGGTACACTGTGCAAATGTACCATTACGTTACAACAAAAAACTAGAAGGACTGCTATCGCCAATCGCCTAATGGAACACGAACATATCCCGAAATTCGGTGTGTGATTCTTTTTTCGTTTACGTCTTCGCAACAAATCTTATGTTGGAAAAATTTTCCATCCGCAACTTATATGCCTCTCCGTAAATATATAGATGCATGTGTATGTGTGTGTGAACGCAGAACTGGAGTTTGATATGAATGATGTTGTGGTAGTATATTGGTTTACATTTTAGTGACGTCGTCTTCGTACATTAAATCCGTCGGGAGGTTGAAACTTAAGCAAAAAAAACATTCAACATTTCAATGAATTGCTCCCGCCGATGATTCGGTCATTATTCGACGCAAAATGAAATTGAAATCGAATCAATCGACCGATTAAAGTGAAATTGTTCGATTTATTTTTATATACATATATATATATATATTTGGCTTATCCAGACAATTATTAAAACATTCGAATTAGTGTTCACAGTGATTTCGTGTACAACTATAATTCGAAGAATTTTGAAATGTTTCACATTTTATCACATTACAAATCAATTGATTACTTTGTGTGGTATTTTAGTTTTACGATTGTTTATGCGCATACAGATTTAATCGTCAGACACATTACATCTAAATCAATACTCGTCTTTCTATTTCTCAGGCACATACACATATATATACACCCAGTTTTCCGAATTGATTCATTTTGAGACCAAATTATTACATATAGATGCTTACACAGCAAACACTTACAGATACATTTATTGCGTAAATAAAATTTTTCGTTCAGCATAAATTCCATTTGCTGACAGCAGGACGCAATATAAACATTACATAACCGAAACTATTTTTGTTGAATGCAAATACATCCAACACAAAATAATTGTGTGATTTTGCGAAAAAAAGAGAATCTCCACGTGAAAAGCGTACAGTCGAAAGAAAAAAAATAATTGTGATTGATACACGGCTGGCGTGGTATCAGGGATGTTGGTTGACAAGGTTAAGGGTAACAAAACATTAAATATAATTTAATATATGTTTTATGTATTTCAAAGTTTTGTTGACAACTTGTCATTCGCACACTGTCTGGATACTAGCAATTTTATTAGAAACAACAATTTCAATTTTTATCGATTCAACCGGAGGTTGATTATTTATTTTTAAATCATATGCATACGTTTAACTAAAAGCCAAATTCAAACAAATATTGAATGTGATTCTGATGGTGTGTGTAACCACGAAATGTTGACTATAATTTCTTTTACAACCACAAAACTAATTTGTATCAAAGTCTTTGAACATTTATTTATCATGTTTTGGAGTTTTTTTTTCCTGATGGATCAAATATTTTTCGTTAAGTCATTCTGTGCGATATTTTCGATTTTATTTCATTAATAATCAATGTGCTTGTAAATAATTATACAAATACGCCTCAAAACACTATAAAAATATAACATTAGCCGTTTTAGCGGATTCCTTCTACATATCTGATTTGAAGTTTACACATTTTAACAAGTTTTTTTCATCGATAGATCTAATAAAGAAAATGTGAATAACGCAGAAAATAACTGCAAAACAACTAATATTAGAAAATACCGTAAATACCTGCCAAAAATATGGTTGTTTCTGTGTGTAACACTGTTTATGTCGGTATGTACAGTATTGGAGTAAAATTGTGTTAATCGAATGAAAATCATATGTTTCAGCTGATTTTTCGTGTTCATTTTAAATCTTTGTATTTTTTATGATCTATTGCCAGCCAATATCGATACTATTTCAAACTGAATGAAATAACTTTATGACGGAATATATTTCCGACATTGTAAAATGTAATGCAGTGTGATATTTAAATAGCATAGAATTTTATCCAGTTTATAATTGGATATCGATAAACGATACTAATCGAAGCGAAAAAAAAAGATTGGCACCATTTCCTTTTTCATATCGTCCGTTCTCAATTTTTAACTTTAAAATATATAAAAAAATGTTTCCTTCTATCTAACAATTGTGTCACTTGTTATCTAGAAAATATCAATAAATATGAGCGACTTGACTTTGAAAAGTGATTACAATTGATACGGTCGATGTCACAGTTGTAACAAAAGAACTACTTGGTGCCATAGTCTTAGCATCACTCTGGATGTATCTATGCGAACAACGTTATCATATGATGTTTGATTTTCAATATTTTTTTGATGTGAAGCTTTTGCAAGGGATCGTTGGATTGGGAGTATGAAGAAACTGGGTGCCATATTTTTTGGCAATTATTTCTTCGTCGGAAATCAGTGTTCTTGATTTTTTGCTTTTGCTTTTCCTATGATTTGATATATAGCGAAATGTCCTTGGTCTCGTTCTATTCTTTTGTTGTTCATTTTTTGGCCATTGATTCAATCATAAATTTTGGATTTTCCGTTATTTTATGTTGACGATGGCATTTTTCAAGAATTCGAAGAAAAAAATAAAACATTTCTAATAAATATTTTCACCAACATATACATTTGTCATTTGAATATGACTTTGTATTCATGAATATTTTGGATAATGTTGTTTTTTATTCGTTTTCAATAGAATTATTTAGCACACGCAGCATCTTAACAGACAATTAATTGCCGTCATTAAAGTTTTGATTATTAGTATGTGTGCACTTGCAACCTCTGCTATCGATTATGGACAAAAATCACGCGATCACTATTAAATGTAAGCATGTTCAGTGGTCCACTTAATGTGCAACCTAATTCATATTTGAAAATTATTGCGAGCCATCGGACGATGGAATGGTTGTGTTTCAATGTTTTGATTCCATTGATGATAAAATATGTATTTATTTTTTATGAGATAGTCAATATTGTGAATGGCAGACAGAAAATTACCTGCCGCAAAACAATGAACCCAATGACACTTTTCTCCATTATCTATCGATCTCACTATGTGTGCATATCAGAGGTCGCAACGAGGCCCCGACCAAAACGCCCTACCGATGACCGCCCGAGCCCGACCCGAAAAAGGTTCGGGTCGGGCGGGATTCGGGCCAGATGCTTCGGGTGTTCGGATTGTTCGGATATTTCGGACGTTCGGTATCATGGGCGTCCGAGTCCGATTAGCCCAAAATCGAGTTTTTTTTGGAAATTAATTAGAAAATCTCGCGAAAAACAGAAAAAAATAATTTTATAACCATTTTTTCGGGGAATCACGGGTTTAGGTAAAAAAAATAATTTCGGGTCGTACTCGGGCAAGGACACAGAAAATTCGATCACCAATTTTTTCATCCCGTTGCACTGCATATGGGATATCTTTTTATTTATTGAATTCGGCATCGAAATGGCCAATGGTTGAATCCATTACCATGCTCTATTCATAAAATTTGATTGATTTGCGATTTATTACATCGATAATCATTTTCATGGCATGACCAAATGGTTGTTTGTATTCATCTCTCATAAATGTCAAAGGTAATTTTATTCAACCAATTCAGATCAGTGTTTTTCGAGCGAAACATCATTTATACGAAAAATTCAGGTGAAAAGTGTCGATGAATGAAAAACGCGATGCATGATAACTAACGTTCGTAAAATTGATTCACTGATGTCAGTTCAGTGGAAATTGAAGTGAGCGAATGAAATTCAGTGCGGACCTTACTTACATTCACTCATTTATTCATCTCTGTTTGATTCATTTAAATCTAAAAATGGTTCGTCATTAAAAAAATGTGCAAACAGTGCAAATTGCACAATATTTTGTTGTTACTATTTTGTATCGTATTTCGATCTAAATTTAGGTTTTAAATCCATTTTTATTTTTAATTGGAGGGTGCCGCATATAAATATCTATATATGTGAGCGCATCACATTGACTTAATTCCGTTTGAGGCATTACTTCATTTGCATACAAATGAAGATGCGATATACTCTGACCCGATATCGACTGTACTGTAAATATACGTGGCTCTAAAAATATCCATGACCACTATTTGCATAGAAAAACCAGTGTGTCTTCCGTTTTGGTCATACAACCGAATTCACGTGAAATATCGATATTTTTTTTCTTTAGCACAAACTATAAGCTATATACACATAAATCACCCCGAACGGATGAAAGTGAAGCAAAAGAAGAGAAAATAAAGTGTAAATTACATTTGGTCTAGCGCCGCCTTTTATCGTTGACATTGGATGTGGAAAAGTAGATTTTGATAACATAGTAAAGGAAACAAACATATTAATATAAGCTTGCATTTTCCACTTTTCAAACGAAAAATTCAATTGCCTGCAAAATACCAACAGACAAAAAAAAGAGTATTCATGTTGAATTTTGTACAATTTTTTCACTGCAATTTCCACTCAGTACCAACATAACAATTCCTTAGAGTGAAGACATTTCGTAGCGTATGGAGAATAATGCCATTTCTAAGTAATTAAATTCTGGCCGTATTGCCATATATTCGCCATATTTAAAACATGTGCACCATACGACCACTATCGCATTTATGTTTTTTTATAGATTTATTATTGACGTTTTCGTATCGTTTAAAATTGAAATAAATTATTACAAAAGCCGCTTAGAACGTCATATTTATAAAATAACTATTCGTATTGACAAAAGGCACAATTAGACTTTGTTATACAAACACAGAATGCATCAAAATTGTATTTATAATCAAAATGAACAAGAATAGAAGAAAAAAATTAACGCTGGAGTATTGATTTGTTTACCTGAATATGATGTTTGTATGGCATTTGTTTTATTTTTTGTTTTCAGCTTTGTTTCTTACTGTTTCTCCCCGCGCACGTCTCAATTCCCAATTTTCATTTCCTTTACTCGTTTCCACCATAGAGTGAAATAATCAAAAGAACACATGGTGTCTGGTTGCGAATAAATGCATTTTCAATAATAGTGATGTGTGAAGAACACGAACAGCCAGATTTCGGTGTTGTAAAGTATCCAGTTTTTCCCTCTTACCCACTGTATATTACCTTCGCCATGCTCAATGTCGGCCTTGTCGCGTACACATATATGTTTGGCATTGTGTACAGTGGCTTTTGTTCCATCTTATGCATATATTTTTTTCTCTACGTGCCTCTTTTTGCTGTTTTTGTCGAACGCGGCAATTTCGGTATCGCGCCTCAATATAACGCTTTGCAAATCAAGTCACATAATATACTAGCACAAAGACATCGTTTGAATTCGTTGTATATTTGTGGATTGATGTCTGTTTTTAGATGTGTATAAGACTGAGTTTTAGTTGCAAAATGTTATGTGATGTCACTAAAACAAATGTACACATTGTTTTAATTGAATTCATATATAATTGATGATCACATTCTTCATTTTAAATTTAAAAATGAAGGAAATCAAAGAAAATTACTATTTTATCTTGTTATTTTCTAATGAAGAAAATCCTTAATAATAAGCATGTATACCGATGTTTTTGATACTTAATTCGCTTGTTTTTCTCCTTGTTCGCATAATCCACGGCAATAGTACACATCAATGTTTAACTACGCATATTTTGCTTCTTCTCATTCTCACACAATTTATTTAGCATGATACTTGGTACTGCTACTGCTGTCACACAGATGGCAAAGAAAATATGATAAATTGCGTGTTATTTTCGGAATCTCATTCAATGAATTGCCGGAATCACATTGCTATATATATTGTGTGTATTCTGCACGAATGGACCGTAACTCTGAGGCATTTTTGGATGGAAATGTGTATCCTTGTTAAACATACATGGGCACGGAGAAAATTTAAGGAAAGGGGATCCATCCGCCAAACAAAATCCTAGCAAATCGAAAGAAATTTTCTCTCGGAAATCGGTAGCAAAAATTGATTTCTTTTAGATCACTATTAGCAAATTGATAGGATTTCTGTCTACCTCACAATTTGAATAGCAGAAAAAAGTTTTTCACTTACTTGTGAAAAACCCCTTACAAATCGTGGGATTTATCGCTCGGCTTGGGCCTTGGGGGTTAAATGCAAGTATTCACATTTTAAGATTTTTTTCCCAAATATTGTCCTCTGCTTCTTCAACATTGGGCATGCATACAAAATACAAACATTGATTTTGATTTGAACTAATCGGAAATGGATAAACGTACGCCTTTTTAATGATGGTCCGATAATTATTTGCTGAGTAAATAGACGGAATATTTATCCGGAGCATAATCGATGAAGATAGAGATAGAGAGCGAGAGGGAAGCGAGAATGAATCAATTCGAGAGAAAGGTCATGGTTTGAAGGTGTGTTTGTATGTGTATTGGTTTCAATTGATTACATTTTCCATTTAAAAAAAAGATAGCTTGTCACCGCAGAATATAAACAAATAGGTGCATTTTTAGTCAACGATGTTTCGAATTTCATAAGTTCGAATCAGGAACAAGAATGCAAATGATTTTTCTTTTTATAATTAAATTTCAAAGTGTGCCATATCAGTTTTTAACTTTATTAAGGTTTTACTGCAGCAATACTGCAATCAATGTCATACTTATACATAGTCGCATCAGAACAAGTGATTATATTTGCCACTTTTGTATATATTTCTCCCACTCTCTACCTCTCTCTCAAGCAGTCACTCACTCGATTGCCCTCAAACAATACGTATGTTTAAAGTCGGGGCCAAATTCCTCGTTTCACAAGAATCTAGTCACATCAAATGAATAATTAATTTGCACACATTCATGTGAAAGGAGAAATTCCATTATGTGGCTCACTGGCCAATGTGATGAGCAATTATCATCGATTGCTATGACAACGATGGCATTTCGATGCAAATATCTGTGCCTGTCATGTATATTTTTTTTTGTTTCATACATTTAAATATTGGCCATGAATTTATGAGACGACCTAGACCAAAAATAAACGGACTTATTATATTCGAAATGAGAAAAATCTACCCGAATGTTTATTTAGTTGATATGATGGCAACAGAAGAGGAAGACATCGAATCGAAGAAAAGCAAATATGTACTTATAACATTGGTTGTGTGTGTGCATGCGATCAGAGAATGCGTATAAATTAAACTTTGTGCGAAGGAAGTTTCAATGAAAGGAATGAGCGCGCGTGCAAACATACACAATGAAGGATAAAGTGATGGCAGCCAAAAATTTGGCTTTAATTTATGGGGTTCCATAATTATTCGCACAAATTGAATATTGTGTATGTGAATTTTGAAGACAAAAACAAAATATTCGTAAAGAGTTGCGTCGATGTGCATTTTCACTGACTTTATTTCACAAATTGAACAGGGCTTTTTATTCGGCTTCGACTTTTCGTGTTAAACTTCTTAATTCGACAACAATAAAACACATGATAAAATATAACATAACATGCATAATACAACATACATAATTGAATTTTTCTTTTCTTTGATTTTTTTTTTCATTTCAGACACACGAAAAACGGCGAACACATTTTGGCAAAAACTGGGTAGGAGAAGAAAAAATCCGAAAGACCGCCGACGACGACGAAAATTCGGACCGCAATTCAATTCGTTTGAAAAGCGTCGAAATTATGACGGCCAAATTGGAATCGATAAATGGCCCAAGGAATGGTCATGAAATGGCACCACTTAATACACGTGCTCGCGGCGATGGTACACATGGCGTAACAATCGTTTTATCAGCATCACAACGGAATTCAATTGCATCAAATAATGGTTCGGTATGCGGACGAAATGGTGGCGGTGATGATGATCGAGCCGCGTGGTCGGGAAAAATGCAATTTTTCCTCAGTATTATTGGTTATTCAGTTGGTTTAGGAAACATTTGGCGATTTCCATATCTGTGCCAACAAAACGGTGGCGGTAAGTTGATTTTTTTTTCATTGACTTATGCGCATACAAAATTACCTTCAATAAAATGAATAATGGTCAATTGAATTTGAACTCATTTCAACATGAATGCAAACGAAATCGATTTTAGTGCCAAAATAAAACCAGCACACATCGTTTATAAAATTTTAAGTTTTTATTTTCTGTGAATTTTTGACCTTGTTCTTAATGAAGACAAATTGCTTGGATTGTAAAGGAAAAAAAGTTGCGTTTGCAAAAGGAGGTGAAAATAAATGGAACTATGTGTGCCTTAACTGACGAGAGAGAGAGAAAATGTAATATTGTTAATGCGGTTGACGAGTGCGTCCACATTATTCTAAGTATTTCGTGTGATACAATAGTTTTTTTTTGCTCTTTTTGAAACTCCCGTGTCACTGAAAAAATGTTGAAGAACTACAAATACAATTGAATTAAAAAAAAAAAAACAATAATAACAATCGATGTGTTGCCATGGAATTGATTTAAATAATATGTACTTTTTGAAACAATTTCATCGACTGAAGGATCCGTACTGTTCGCGGGTTGACTATGGCCCGGCATCTCAAGCAAAGCAACAAATATGTTAGTTTGAAGACCTTTTGATGCGAGTCTCTATAATTTTAATTGGAAGCTATGCATATAATTTACATTCAGTTTGACACTGAAATGACTAAAAAGTTACAGTTTTCATTAGTAACATTTATAAAAAGGTTTCATATTTCCTCCTCAAGTTAACGCAACGTCACCGTTATTTTTGCGTTGTAAATTTTATTATTTATTGAAAAATTACTTTTAACTGACCTTGAACATTAAATACAAAACTTGTAATAAGAATTAAGTGATTGTTTTCAATAAAAATGCCAGATTGTTTTTCGATATTTTATTGAAATCCTTGAGACTTATTCGAAAACGCGAAACGAGAGGCAATCTGTTTCTTGAGTTTTATGTATTCTTTTTATAATAACTATATTCAATTATCGCATTCAGTTTATTATGGATAATTTTAATTTGCGTATGTATACATGTTTCTATGCATCTGAATCTAGATCCAAACGATTTTCGAGCATTAAACGAAAATCATTTGGGAATTTTCATAGATTTTAAGCTATATCTCAAACAAGATTGAACTTGTGCTCGATGTTAAATGGCCACAAATCAAAAGTGCGCCTCATCTTATTTTTTAACAAATTGGATATTTAAGATGAGTCGTTGATAACAATTGACTTGAGATATCATTCAAAGAAATATCGGATCCATGAATTTCGAATTCTTTGACTATAGATATATCTTCGACTTGAAAATGTTTTATAAATCGGGCACTTGATTTTTTGTTTTTATAAATATAAAGATATATATTTTTTCGTTTATTAAGTCTAAAAAAATTTTCCACTGTTCCGAATTTAAATGAAAATAGCAAATGATTCAAACTCGTTTGAAGAAAAGAACATTCGTTACCATATAATATTCGAAAATGAAATAGAATTTTATAGATTGATCATGAACTGAGCTTTCAGTGTGTATTTTTTTTATGTATGTTAACTTCAATTTAATGGAAAATGGTCATTTCAAACGAAATTGACTCGTTGCCCGTGTGTGTAACGATTTCAGATGTTTCGTCTAACAAGATAAAATATCCATTTTCGTCTACAATAAACTGTGTCTGTGCTTGTGTTATTCTGTATAAATAAATACCAATGGATGATGTGATGGAATATAATGTAAAGCTTTCACAAATAATTTCCAATGAAATTTTTCCAAAAACACTGTGCGGAATCATGACGGTGGTTGATTTCTTAAATTAACGAAAGATAAATGTGAAAAGTTCAAGAGCATATTCACTGGTTGTTAAGTTGTTGATACCTTATGTGTGACCGATTAGATTGAGTTTGTTCATCGTTGCCGATGTATTCGTCGATGATTGAATGACAAACAGAAATAGATGGAAAGAGTAAGCAACAAATCAATTTAATACCTGTGTCGCTGCTTTTTTTTTCATTGCTTTTACCAAAGTTTTCTTCTTTTTTCTATCGTTCGAGTGTTTCGATTTCGATGACACAAACTGAAAACGGATAATCATTCATGTTTGTTTACATACAAAACTCATTTACAACTCGAGTTATAAACATGTCAGCGCATCAATAGTGCGACCGATTGATGAATGCATAAATCATTAAATACGAAAATATTTGTTTTGTGTTGTGGTTTTAGTTTGTCCAATATCTTTAACCATCTACTTCGTTTTTAATGTTATTGAAGTAAAAAATAAAATGAATTCATATGAATGGAAAAATCACGTGAAATTAATATATCCAAATTGAGCTTTTCCAACACAAAATCATCCATTGCCTGGCATAAGTTTACGGTCGATTTTGGGGTCGGATTTATGCGTAGTTTCAGTCATATTCAACGTCACCAATGGAAAAAAAATGCAATTAGCATGATATAAAAGCAGACAATATATTTAGCTGTCGTCACCTGGATATTTCAGCTCATCTGGATATCTTCAGCAGATGATACAAAGTGAAAACAATATTGTTATAGGTATATAAGCTTGCTATATACTGGTATTACTATAACAATCGATTCTATTGTTTTCACTTCGCATCATCTGCTGACGGCATCCAGATGAGCTGAAATATCCAGATGATGGCAGCTAAATATATTGTCTGTATAAAAGTTGATTCGATTCATAGTCACTAGTATTGCACTTTTTTCAATAAATTTTACTCACCTATAAAGGTACGAGATGTACACGGTGCAGTTGTACGACTATCCCAATGATCCACAATTTGATTCATCAAAACCCAATTATTATCTAATTATCTCTAATCTTAATACTAAATGACGTCGGCGTTTGTTCATTAATTATCAAGCATATGCCAAATGTCTTCGCCGATATCCGCCACGTTGTACCACTCGTCGTGATACTCATAGAACCATTCGTCGTACCAATTGTCATCTTCGTCGGCTGTTTTATCATGTGGCTGGACATGAGGTAGTGGTCGTTGACGCTTTAGTGATGGATGGATTTCTTCATCAAAATTCTCACAATGGCCTATCATTGAAACCACAACGAACTATAAACTAAACGTAGTTGCGGCAGTTTTGGATATGCAGCAATTGGCTGAACGACATTGTTTGGCTGAGCAGCTTTTTCTATTCGCTTTCGTTTTCTTACGTTGTTATTTTGTGAATGTTCTGTTATTTTAAAATAAAAACGGAAGCAACCCCCAAAAATCACACGAAAGATAGATCGAACTATGATCAATGTCAATGTATAACAAAGTGCGGTTTAAATATGAATTCAATTTTCATTATTTTTCGGAATCAGTTTATACTTGTTTGTTTTGACTACCACAATAAACTCCGTTTTGGTTAAACAATCTCTCACAATTTATGGACAAATTAATAAAAAAACAAATCATAAAAAAGAACATATTGTGGATGAAAATGTACACACATTATATAGTCTATCACGTTATCACTAGCTTGAGGCCAAAATGTCTTTCTTTTCGAAAAAGAAAATGAGACTCCTTTGCCCCCTCCTCTCTCTCTCTCTCTCTCGTTTAAGAAACATTGTGTGGCATACATTCATATTCAATATCAGGTGGTCGATCTAGTCTTCGAATAATCAAGCGCGCAAAAAATGGCCAAAAGCATTGAGTGCGCGTGCATATCCAAAAATAGTGTATTTGACCCTGTAGATATAAGATCGTATTGTTGGTAATAATTCGTGTAATGTTTTTCAAATTGTTGTGGCGTTTTTCTTTTTCTTTGCAGGTGCATTTCTGATACCATTTTTTGTGATGTTGATATTGGAGGGGATTCCATTGTTTTTGATTGAATTGGGTATTGGTCAGCGAATGCGATTGGGTTCATTAGGCGTTTGGAATACAATACATCCGTGGCTGGGTGGCATCGGGATATCATCCTGTATTGTCACATTGTTTGTAACACTTTACTATAATGTTGTGATTACCTGGTGCTTTTTCTACTTGCTCAATAGTTTTCGGGTAATGTATATTTATATACTTTTGGGCGTTCGTTGTTAAACAACAATTTAAAATGCTTTTAACAAAAAAAGAAAGCATGTTCAAAACATACAATACAACGGAAAAACAAACATTCTATTTCTGCTTGAGTATGCCCAAGGCATTGATTCAATTTGGTTGTGTGTTTTTTTTAAATTATAAATGTTTTCTTTCTTAAACGTCTTTGTTGCCTTTGCAATGTTTGACTTCTATTTTGAATTGTTTACGCTGTCTGAAGTGTTTTTCCGGTAAATTTTCTCAAGCCTCTCGTCATATAGCTTATTTCATAAATTTTGTTTTCGTTGTGTCCTTCAATGTATAGATATAGAAAAATAATAAGACCAAAAAATGTGAAAATTGGCGAAAACGATAAAATCTGATTTTATTAAGTGGGATTGAACTCATTAAGCCTTAAGAGGGTTTTTGGAGAGTCCCTCCTATTGTTAAGAGCAACAAATGTTTTTATTTTCTTTAGTAACTAGTTTATTTTGTATCATATTTTCATTTGTATTATTTAGATTGAATTGCCGTGGGCCAAATGCCCGTTATTCAACGAAACAACCACTGAACCGGAATGTAAATCGTCCACAACATACTTTTGGTATCACACAACGCTTGACGCATCACCGTCAATGGAAGATAGTGGCGGTTTAAAATGGTGGATTGTGCTTTGTTTGTTTGCCGCATGGGCAATTGTTTTTTTGATTGTGATGAAAGGCATTCAAAGTTCGGGAAATGTAAGTGTGATGGCTATTTATGGTTGTTGTATATCAATTGATTAATATCACATTTTCTTCATTTTATGTTAGATTGTGTGGTTCACATCATTGTTTCCGTATATTGTGTTGACAATATTCTTCATTCGTGGAATAACGTTAGAAGGAGCGAGTGAAGGTTTGGCCCACATGTTAAAGCCAGATGTGAAGAAATTATTAAAACCGATGGTTTGGCTGGATGCGGCGACACAAGTTTTTTATTCATTTGGTTTGGCATTTGGTTCATTGATTGCATTTGGAAGTTACAATACACCGAAAAACCATTGCGTTCGTGACGTTTTATTGGTTTCCTTTTGTAATGCATTCACTGCCATTTATGCGAGCGTTGTCATATTTTCGATATTAGGATTTAAGGCCACTACCGATTTAGCACGGTGTGAAAAAACGTAAGTTACGATTTATCACTTTCTTTAAATTAAATGTTTGTGCTAATATATAGATTGTATTTTGACTATATAGAAATATGCAAATACTATTCCATAATGGAGCGTTGGAAGCATCAAATGTAACACATTCAATTTACCTTGATGCAATGAGTAAATTGAATAAATCGGACGAAATGAAATGGGGTGTATCACCCAATTGTACGATCGAGTATCAGTTGAGTGAGGCGGCCGAAGGTACCGGTTTGGCATTCATTGTATTTACGCAGGCCATTGTGAATCTACCGGGTGCACCATTTTGGGCGGTGCTGTTCTTCACAATGTTACTATCGTTGGGTCTTGGATCACAAATTGGTCTTCTGGAGGGAATGTTGTGCACACTATTCGACATCGATATATTCAAACGACTACGGAAACAATATGTAACTGGTATGAATCATCTAAAATAATCGTCATATTAGGAGGGGGGATTGACATAGTTATGCTAATCGCTTTCCGTTATTATTATTTTTCGTCTATGTGTTCGCTTCAGCAACGGTATGTCTGTTCTGTTTTATCGTCGGTCTAATTTTCTGTACGGGCGCTGGTGAATATTGGTTGAAAATGTTTGATTCATTTGCTGGCACCATCGGCTTGGTCGTGATTGCTTTGATGGAAATGATCTCTGTGATTTACATATACGGACACGAAAAGTATGAACCTTCAATTTTAATTTAACATTATGCAGCGTTTGAATTGATTTTAATGGAATGATTTTTATTATTCAAGATTTAGCGAAGATATTTACCAAATGACCGGCTATCGTCCGGGCTTGTATTGGCAATGGACATGGCGATATATTGGGCCAGCCATCATGTTTTGCATTCTGATATCTTCAATTGTGTGCTTAGCAATTGACAAACCCACATACAGTGCGTACAGTCCAGCAGAGGTATGGATCTTTTTTTCGCATCAATTTTTTTTTCTTCATTACAAACTCAAAAGTCATAAACGACGTTTTATTGCACATTTTCAGTCGACTACTATACCAACCGAATATCCCAGTTGGGTTATGGGCATTGGTGTGTCAATGATAATAGCTGGAGTTCTGCCAATACCACTTGTTTATCTATTGCGACGCTTCCAAATACTTAAAGTTGACTTGGACATACATCAAGGTTCAATTCGAAGGAATGAAACAACCGCTTCAACAAAGCAAATGATGGACGACGATGATGTAAGTAAAAATGTTATTCTTTGTTCCCAATCAATTTTTTGTTTTCAGTTTGTAAAAAATCGGTTTAAAATATGTCTGTGTGTTATTTGTTTAATTTAACTAAACTCACTGACTAACCTGACCGTAATTTATTTATTTATTTATTTTTACACATTTTTGTTAAACGACAAACAATTATATAAAAACACTCATTTAAATTATTGTGTTTGATGCACGCCAACAAAATCGAACCAAAAACCAAAATAGGTGATTAGTCCTGATTTACCGCCAACCGATTCACTAGCAACACGGTTTACAATCGGGGATTTCGATGTAAGTTTTACTTCGGATGTGGACCATGAATCTTGAATTTTCTTCTTTCTATCTGTGTGTTTTATGTATTCATCATGCTTTATTTTTTTGCTCATCATAAATTTTTGTTTCTGTCATTTTTATGTTTGAATTCAAATCAAATTTGGCTCTTTTGTTTAAAAAAAAAACATGCCATGGAAATTTTTATCTATTTTTTCGTTGTAATTTTATTTCATTTTTCTTCTCTGTAACTTTGTTGATTCTCAATTCAAACACACATTTTTAGTGGATTCGGATCTGTTTCGTTTTTGATTCGGGCCTCTTTTAATGCGAATTGCGATTGAAATCAAAGTGACAGTGACCAATTTTCATTCCATTTACTAAAAATCATTGCTAATGTGATTTCTATCTCATCTTCTTCTTTTTTCCATGCATTTCTTCCTATGTTGTTCTGCATCATGTCTTTGTCTGTGTAAAAACAAAAATTACAAAAAAAAATATTTTAAATCATGCGCTAAAGATCTAATTTTCTCACTCCAGAAATAAAATACCGAAAGCAAACAAAACAAAAAATCAAATCCATATATAAATGACACAAATACAAAAAAACACCACAAAAAATAATATACACTTACACCTCCTCCCGAAAGTAAAATTGACAAAAAACACAAGCGAAGTATGATACAAACAAACTGAAACCAATTACACACACAAATATATACACACACACACACTCGTTGTTGTGCTCACCTCCACACCAATTTCGGCCAATTGCTTCATCAAAACCATTGATCAACCCACATATATAAATATCCATGTTCACGATCGCGAGACACCCGACCCCTTCCCCCCCAGAGATATATGAGAGTGTAAACTGTAACCGATCATCGCTAGAGTGAATATGAAGTAAGATTGAGCGCGTGCATTCTTTTTCACACTACGGAACCGACCAAAAAAAAATGAACAATCATCATGGTAACTAAGTGCGGAAGGTATACAAAAATGAAACATGCACAGAAGGATATGGAAAACGACGAAAAAGAAACAACCGGTAACTAATTTTGTTTCATGTGCACGAATTTTGCATATTGCGCGTGGCGAAACAAATCAAAATTTACATATTCGCTGTCGTTCAATCTGATGTTCTTTGCATGATTATGAAAATTCATTATAAAATCCAGCATAATTTTGATTTTATTGAATATTTTCTTTACTTCAATGAAGAGAATTTTGAACTATCTCCTATTTAAAAAAAAAAGAAGAGTCATTTGTTATTATGCTGAATTTTATTTTGTGAAATTTTTCGTTAAATTTCCCTGCAAATTGATGCGAACAAAACGACCCACAACATCGGTGGTGCGACAACGTCACGCAAATTTTATTTATTTTCACTTTATGTTCAGTTTCTAATATTTTTGACCGCTCACACACAAACTCACCCGTTATAATCTGACTGACTGACTCAACTAATTTACTTAATTTGGCTTATATTTTATTATCCACTGCCACCGTAGTGTGCCGAACAAAAATTACACTTGTAGATTGTATAAGATTTTGTTTTTGCGTTTATTTTTAGTTCAGTGAAGATTGCCTTGTTGGCTTAAATCTATCTTAATCCATTCAAAGAATTATTGAAAAGAGAACGTAGTTAATAGATTAACTTAATACACCAACACCAATGAAGCTTTGATTTCATTTGTTGTACGATGATAATATCATTTTATTGTTTGCATTTTGGAATCTAGGATGAAGAATTCAATGGAGATTTCCAACGAGTATCAGCTCGAAGCGACTCAGACGACGATGATGATGACGATTTGCCACCCATGATCGGCAAACTCAATATGATACGCAATCATTCACCGTTGAAGGCAACCAAAAATGTATACTAAACACTCACACCATTCCGATTAACACTTTAGGCCGTAACGTGTGTGAAATCATCAGACGAACAATCGAAAATTATGGAAAGTTTACAAAGCTGGAAATAACATCAGTGGTAGAATTGAAATACATCTCTCCCGATTTTCAGACGGGTTTTTTGCTCCAAACTGCTTAACAATCGACCCCCAGTTCCTGCAGATCATACCCACAACAAATAATCTTACTTTGAATAGATAATGTTACTGAAAAGTATTGGAAATAAACAAAATTTACGTTGTGAATGTAAAATGTTCATCCCATTACATAATTTAGACTCACAATTTAGTTAAAACGGATTCAAAAAATAATTTTTTAAAAAGATATTATATTTTTAAAAAAATCCACCCATACACGCAAACAAACTCTCATTGACAAGGAATAACAGAAAATAGTCCAAACAAAAAAAAATACATCAAAAAAATTATCAATTATGATAAGACAGATAAATAAAAAAAAATGTGAGATAGAAAATCTAGAATTTAACTTTAATTGATAAGTTAGATTAGTGAATGTTATTTGTGACAAAAAAACCCAACAAAACATAATGAGAGCAAAACTAGACGTTATTTCCATGTTTCCCATGGATGGTATTCATTCAGATACGGCCAAGCGAAACATTTAACCGTGGTTTTTTATTGCCTTTTTTTGATTTCCAATCAATTTTGAGAATATCCGAAAAAAAACATTAACATCATTCACTGGCTGGAACATTCAAAAAATTGACAACACTTTTTTTTCGGTTTGGAATTATGTAAAAAGAAATTAGTAAGCACATACATTTTGACATCACCTTTTCGTTTTGCCATTCATATTGATCAGATAGATTATAAGAAATGGGGTACTTTTTTTTGTTCTAGCATGGAATATTCAAAATTGAATTTAGACCAGTTTCAATATCTAATT